AGGCTGCCAAAAAAAAAAAAAAAAAAGAAAAAGAAAGAAAAAAAATCCTTTGGGAAAGAATCACTAAAACCTCAGTCTCTAAAAAGGCAAGACTGCAATGCTGCAAAGGATTTCCTCCCCACCGTTTCGCAGGAAGGGCTTTCAGCAGTTCCCTGCAAGAAAGACACTGGATATTAATAATGGAGCATCATCTGTGCTCTGTGAACTAGAATATGCCCAAGTTCAGTGTTGAGAAACGGCTCCAGTGATTAACAGCATAATGTAAGTTCAATCATTCCTCTGTAACTCATCTTACCAAACTAACCCGTTCTCTTCAGAAAGTCCTGATTAAACTTTGCAGAGATTTATCTCAACAGGTTGAAGGCCACGTGGGTCTCACTCAGGCTCTTGCTGCGGGGGATTCTTAGCTGGAGACTAGCTGAGGTGTGTTCCTCAGAGAAGCCTGTGGGAGCAAATCCAGCTCCCCAGAGGTGCAGTGACAAGGGTCGCTGCCTTCCTACGTGAGTGCCTGGCCGGATTAAGCAGGCCAGGCCTCCATGAGCATGTTTTTCAACAATGTCAATCTAGCAAAGAACCACCTTTACTTAGAAGAATAAATGTCTGGCTAGTGCAATCTTCTGCAACGCCCAAAAGAGAAAGCAAAAGGAACAAGTGCTTAGAAGAGATAGTAACTTTCTCTTCCTGGTATTTCAAAAACTGCCCTGCTCCTCCTCAAAGGAGACGATAATTTTATTTTAGATGACGTATTCTAGCTAAAGTGAGTTCCTAATAGTTTATCTAAGTAAAACAAAATGCCTAGCGCCCTATTCATATTCCTAACCTGACATACAGATCCCTGTGTTTGTGTCAACAGCCCTGGAGTGTGTTGTTATGGTATGTCTTGAACTGCTAAGTTTTAAAAACTTTTTAAAAAATCTAATTTCTGCTATTTGTAGAATTCACCCATTTCAAACTAGATTTTTTTTTCTGTTATTTTATAAGTATCTGGATATTTTAAAATTCTTAACTAAAATGGTTTGAAACAAACCCTTGAATAACTACACATGCCGATGTGTTCCTCCACATGCACTTTTGTAACACTAAGTATCTACTCCTCAGGAAAGGTCTGATTATAACCAATAGCAAAATTGATACAATAATCGCCTTACAAACACCTTTTGGGTCTGGTACAGTAGCCTAGCTGCTAAGGTCCTTGTTTTGCATGTGCCAGGATCCTATATGGGTGCTGGTTCTAATTCCAGTGGCCTCACTTCCCATTTAGCTCCCTGCTTGTGGCCTGGGAAGACAGTCAAGGATAGTCCAAAGCCTTGGGACTTTGCACCCGAATGGGGGACCCAGAAGAAGTTCTTGGCTCCTGGTTTCAGACTGGCTCAGCTCTGGCCATTGCAGCCACTTGGGGAATGAATCAGCAGACAGAGGATCTTTCTGTCTCTCCTCCTCTTTGTATATCTGACTTTGCAATAAAAATTTAAATTTAAATCTTTAAAAACATAACAAAATAAACATCTTTTAACTCCATTTTCCATGAGCTCTTAAAGGTACCTCCTATTTAAAGACACCACATGGGTAAACAAAGGAATTCTCCCTAACCTTGAGCGGAAATGACGGAATGCTGAATAACTCACTTTCATCCCTGTTTTTACAGCATTGAGAAGAGAGCAGACCATCTATGGAAGAGATACAACGTTCTAATGAAGGATCCGTGGCTGAGATGCAGGCATTAGAAACAGCTCTGACATCACTCTTTTGCCCTTAACATTTCATTTATGTGAAGCTAATTACCCTGTTTAAAATCTTGCAATAATTTTCATTGTAATTCAAATGAAATCCAATTTTTCAGCCAGTATCCTGTTCCCTAACCTCCTCTGACCTCATTCCCTCCGAGAGAGACTCCCATTCGTTGTCTCCAGAGCTTTACCACATTAAAGCTTCTTTAGATTTTCCAGTGTTGCCACTTTCTCATCGCTTGTCTAAATTCAAACAGAACTTCATCAGAGGGATCTTCAATTTCATGGCACTCTATATTTGCAAGTTTTGAGGACTTCGAAGAATTCCACATGCTGAGACTGTGTGGCTTTCTAGATGTATCTAGTGACCTCTGCTGGCAGATTTCCTAAGCATACTAAATATAACTCGTTTTTTGTTGCGTTCTCACGGCTTGGGTCTGAGATTCAGCACCAGAGACTACTGAGAGTGTCCCTGCACCTTGAAGAAACCCCAACTCTGACTGGATGACTGTTCCCTTTTGACTCCCAGGTCAGCAACTTACGCTTATCCATGAAGCAGAAGAGTACTTCAGTGAATCTACAGGGAACTGAAATCAAGAGATTTCAACACAAATATAGGAGGAAGGCCAGGGAAGCAGAGAAGTGCCCCTGATTTCTTTTAAACTACTATACAAATGACTGCCTTTCTCTGTACATTTATCTGAAAGGAGAGAATTCATCCAGAGAACCAGGAGAGATGGAAATACAGACCGGACATATTTCAGATGATTCCATTTATTTCACATCTTTTGACTCAAGGAGCAATTCTGAAAAAGGCATTCTCCATTAAAAAGCCAAGATTGGCCAACAATGTCCCCATTTCAAGAACGTTTCTTTCTTTCTCTTTTTTCCCTACTCTTTTTTTTTTTTTCTGCACCCACTTGTCTGTGACTTTTAAATAAATCTTCACACAGATAATCAAAACAGTAAGGATAAAACAATCATGGCGCAGCATCATTATACTTTGGTAAATTGCTTCACTCAGCTCCAGGTTACAGAGCAGATAATCAGTCAGTAGGACTTGAGCCCTGGAGTGTCTAACTCACCAAGCGTTTGGTACCTGGTACACTATATAAGTGAATAAATCAGTATTTCTTTGTAAATTGGATAATGAGAATCACCTGTCACGTGTTCAGCACTGGGAGAAACGTTCTCAAGGCTGGTAGGACTACACGCTGCAAATGAGACGTCCTGTTATCCTCGCATCACCCCACTCTCACATCTTGTCAACAAGTCCTTCTCTTTTGTTTCACTGGAATTTGTATTTACAGAACCTGTGGAGGTTATGTCAACAGGCAAATAATTCTGCAAAGGAATTCAGACTCAACATTCTGCTATTTTAGCACTTGATTTTTATCTTAATTCACCATCTCATCTCTTCCTCATGACTCAAATGAAGGAATAATAAACTATGTGCTTAAATTTACTTTTTAGACAGATAAGAATCAAATACGTCAGTGAATCAGGGAAGACGTATTTTGACTCACAAAAACTTATTAATGTTACATAAATGTGGATTTATCTGCCTTAAGTGATTGAGACAGCCTTAAGTCAATAGCACCAATCATACAGAAAATAACGAAAGATGAAACAAAATGTTCTGAAATAGTATTACAAGAACTGCTCCGACATTCACGTTTACAATTGCAATGTAAAGATACTTCTGTTTGAGTTTCCATTGTGCTGCTCATTAACATACTAATGTTAAAATATTGATTGTTGGTTACATCTGTATGGTAAGATGGCTTAAAATTAAGCATGTTTGTGAATGTCCTTACTCCCCTGAAGAATAATAGTGTGTGTGTGTGTGTGTGTGTGTGTGTGTGTGTGTTTAAAGACACTAGCAAATTTTAAGGAACTTCAAAAAGTTTATGGAAACTGGAATTTAAAAATGAGTTTATTTTTGGTGTAAAAAGTATGCAAACAAGGACTCTTCAAAAGCTCATGAAAAATTGTTATGAATAAAATATAAAAGATTTCAAGTTATTTTCATTAAAAGAGACTTGTCTTTTACTTTTTACACTGTGCTTTTATTTATTTGAATCATGAAAGGACAGAGTAGAGATCTACCCACTGTTCACTCCCCAAATGGCCGCAGCGGGTGGGACAGAGTCAGGCCGAATAGGGAAGTTTGGAACTCTATCGGATCTTCCATGTAGGTAACAGGGGCCCAAGTATTTGAATCATCTTCAGCTGCTTTCCTAGCATTAGCCCAAGGGAAAACAGTACAGCCAGAACTTGAACTGGCACCTCGACACAGGATATTCCCATAGCAGGTGACAGCATGACACACTGCACCACGATACCATCCCTGAAAAATTTACCCTTTATTTCTATTTTTCCTTGGGCTTTTTTGAAGTACCTTTCCACATAATTACTTGTTCAAAAATACATGGAAAACAAATATACATATTATTATTGTTCATATCATCCTGGTGACCTTTCTGTAAATTTCTTCCCATATTTGAACACTGTCACATTCATTGAAAAATTATTTATTAAGTTGAAAACATTTGAGGCCAATATACAATAATTATGAATAAAATTAATTTACAGTAGCCCTTTAAAATTATGGACTAATGCTAAATATTAAAACATTGTAGCCAAAGTTATAGCCTTTATGTGACATACCCAAAGGCACAGAAGTTATGCTTTTTTTAATGGAGGAAAAAACTCAATATCTAGGCCTATCATCAAAATTCAATTTCTACATGTAGACAAAACAGGGATTTTTTTTTAAGCTCTAAAATGGGGACTCGGGTGGAAGAACCAAAATCTAAATGGATATAAACTACAAATATATCCCAGCAATTCTACATGTGAGTCTAATCTAGTTGGCAAACTTTATGAGAGGAACTGCTAATATTGGATCACTCTGGCAATGATGAAATAAGCATTGGTGACAGTGTGAAACTAGGAGTTTGATCAGAAGGACAAGGGCTAAAGGGCTGAACTGGAACCCGCTCAGCCCATCCCTGGATGAGCTTGTCTGTGAACTGTAGGCTTTTGCTTGTTCTAGGTTGCTCACATAGTCATCAGCTGCAGCGTCCCTACCTGTGCAGAGGCTGTAACAGGGCTGAGAATTCCTCTTCTCACTTGGGAGCTCCCCAGGGGGCCCGGGGGGAAGTCTTTTGCTACTTTATCTCCACAAGAAGCAAGCAAAGCCTGATCTGGCCAGCTCTGTGCCTCTCCTGGGATTACAATTCACTGACACAAGGATTTAAAGCTTCCAAGGACTGGAAGAAAAATGCTCCGAGGCAGATCCCTGTCTGTGACATCCTTGAGTGGGCTTCCTCAGTGGGAAGTGGAAGAACTTCCAGTGGACGACCTACTGCTGTTTGAGATCTCCTGGGAAGTGACCAATAAAGGTTTGTACTGCTACTGAAGGTAGCCCTTAGCCAGAATGCTGCAGCTGTAGACGTCAATTTCACAGGTGAATGCTGAGGGATAGACAATGGGCAGCGAATGAGGAAAGCATTCAGGTACGTACGTTACATTTAGCGTTGTCTTTTTCAACAGGCAGTGGAAACCTCGACTTGAGGACCTCTTGAAGAGGGAGCAAGTTGAAACTATCAGTTATGGCCAAGGAAAGGGAATTTCAATTAAATTTTAGATCTACTCTACAGGAAAAGAGGAAACTTTTTATATCTACTTCTTTATTATTTTTTCTCAGTTTAGAAAAAGCAAGATTGACTATTTTCAGAAGAATTATATATGATCAGGACTAACTAGAAACCTTACTTCTATATATTGTTAGTGATTACATGACATTTTGAATAATGCTTTTAATAATTCAAGATTAGCTTTGAAATTAAGATTTTTATTTGGAATCTGTTCAGAACACATGGTATTGCTCTTTTTCAGAGGTCTGGAGATATTTTTTCTTCAATGCCCTATGTATACAGGTAATACAGCATAAGAAGGGAAATCAAAAGAATCAATTTGAAATAATTTCCTAATGAGGTATAACCTCATTTGTGCTGGAGCAATGAAAGTAAAATAGAGACTGCAAACTAAAAAGATTTTAATCACAGACAGCTATAAATGTAGAAAACAAGTTCTTATGGACTGTAATCCTCCAGGTTATGTGTCATGGATTTGGGGGGAATTGGTAATAAAGAGTAATAGAAGATGAGTTCTGCAAGGCCACGAAGGAGATTTTGGTGTGTAAATGGCAGCCACTATCTGCGAGCTTTTCACAGCATGTATGTGTGATGCATCACTTCTTCCGTTTGGAAACAGACTCCAAATACTACAAAAATTATGTCTGGCATCTGTTCTGACTTGCACCTATGCCAGCTTCTCCAGGTTCTCCATTGTACACATTCACAAAATTCATTAGATCCACACTAAATACCACTCTGCCCATGTGGACATGCACAGAGGCTCATAAAAAAATAAAGCAGCCTTCCTCTCTGTAGCTTCGGGAGGAGGAAGCAGTGCGGAAAGACATCCTAGCAGAGAGAGCAGCAGCCTTTCAGAAGCGGCCATTTGGCATGCCCTTTTTCCAGTTGCATGTTGTTCCTGCTTAAATATAGCCCAGAGTTCCCGGGGATGGAACCATCTCAAACACAGTGTGCCTTGAAAGGAAGGCTTTATTCACAGAGAAGGCAGAAATACAGGGCAGGGCTTATTGGTACAACAATTCAGGGGTGAGATGATCTTTATCTCTAGTCGTGGGATTGAAAGACACCTGTACAGGTCCCCCCAATTGGAAGGAGCCCCTTCTCCTTTCTCTCCTCTCCAGTTAGCAACTGCTGATGGGCACTGTCTGCCAGGGGTTGGGAACACTCCTCCACCCTGTACCGGGAACACTGGAAATTTCATTATTTCCAGAGTGATCCAATATTAGCAAATCCCACTCATGAAATTTGCAACTACTTTAGATTAGACTCACATGTGGAATTGCCAGGATATATTTGTAGTTTAAATCCATTTGTAGAACCTGAATTGCCCCTCAGTTATCACACCCTAGTGATATGTATCCTGACTCCTGGGCCTAGAACATGCCAGACAGGCACAGAGAAGTGCCAGATGATTTTTCTAATGAAAGAATAAACACATCAATTTTTCAATCTCTTGGCCCCCTTTGATATTAATTTTCTATCATGTCCCTGGCAAGGGAAGGGAATTTCTTTTTTTTAAATTCTACTTATTTTTATGTTCATTTATTTTGGTGGAAGAGAGAACAGAGGGATCTCCCATTTACTGATTCACTCCTAGCAAAAAGCCTGCCAAATTCAGTAGCTTGGAACTTGACCCAGGCCTCCCACACGAGTGATAATGACCCAGCCACTAAAGGCATTATCTGATACTGTGATAGTTTGCATGAACAGGGAGCTGAAAGCAAGAGCTGTAACCAGGATGTGAGCCTGGGCACTTTAATGTATGACACGGGCATTTACATTGGCATTGTAACAACTCACCCAAATGCCAGCCCTGGCTTTGCTTTCATGGAGAGGAGTCTACACTGTGATTTATGCAAATTGACATCATCTTCAATGTGTCTTCGTTTTAACTATGACCACAGCTCAATTTTTAAAGATTTTTATATCAGATGAGCAATTAGTGTATTCATCTGTCCCATAAGCACATTTCCACTAAAGCTTCTTTTGCGGATTTCCTTGGAGCTCATAGCTCCCCGTAGTCCGTAACAGTGCTAGGAGGCATCCTAGTAATCATGAAGCCAACCACCTTATTTCGTAGGTGAAGTGGACATGTAAAGACCTGAAATAAACCTGCCAATACCACGTGGCTTCCACTAGGACTGGATCTCTAAGTCAAAGTCTCCTTTCTACTAAATCATAAGAAATATTACAAAGTTCATTGTCTAAAAAGTGTCCAATGAAATGTCCGGGGATTTCTGAAATCTTGAAGAAAAATCCCTTAAACTATTTGGATATCTGTTTATGAATAAAGGGAATATAAAACACACCAGACTTTGTAAGATGTTTGTGGTAAATATTGGAAGGTATTCGTATCCAACAGAAAGATTTCTTACACAGAAAAAAAAAAAAATCCCTCGCCACCAGAATCTTGGCAACCAATAATGGAAACAGGTTAAATTTAACAAATGAAGGCACTACAGTGAAATTATTAAATGCTAATTCTTACACCTCAATATAACCTTTTTTCTAGAGGCTCAAATTAGTTTTGAAATTTACTATTTCTAATCATTCATAGAAGCCATTTATAAATCAATAATTCATCAGGTGTTAGTAAAGTGCCAGGCTATGAAAGACACAGAGTTTCACGATGTGACTGATTTCCTATCTTCCAGAATGTACAGACTTGCACAGACAATGCTCATGCAATTATGGTTAAATTGCATTCTGAGTCCTCTTTACACCCTGCCATGCCATTTGTGTATTTCTGCTTTTGCCATTGGGATCTCGTCCCCCTCAAAAAGTTAAAAATCACTGTCCAATTCAATATCATGAAGTAATTTGCCTATATTTCTTCAGGAAGTCTACAGTTTTAGGTCTTTTAAGTCTGATTCATCTATTCTATCCCATTGGTCTGTATGCTCAATTTTATGCCAATGCTATGCTTTTAGATTAGTATAGCTTTGTAGTATATTTTGAAATGAAGTAATGGAATGTCTTCTGTCTCATTCTTTTGTTGTGCAAAATTGGGTTTGCAATTCAAAGGATGTGTGTGTGTGCACGTGCGTGTGTGTAGTGGAGGAGAGCATGCTAATTTTAGTATCGTTTCCTTAGTTCTGTAAGAAATATCATTAGTATTTTGATAAGGACTACACTGATCTATATATCATTTTCAATGGCATGACTACTTTAACAATATCGATACTTTTAATACACTTCTTTGCTTCTGGTTAGATTTGTCTCATCATGGTTTTACAGTTTTCATTGTAGAGGTGTTCTTTGAATAAGTATGTTCTGGGCCCAGCACAACGGCTCAATGCCTAAATCCTCACCTTGCAAACACTGGGATCCCAGATGGGCACCAGTCTGCACCTTGGCTGCTCCACTTTCCATCAGGCTCCCTGCTTGTGGCCCAGGAAAGCAATAGAGGACGGCCCAAAGCCTTGGGACCCTGCAACCATGTGGCCAGGGATCAGCTCAGTTCCAACCATTGTGGCAACTGGGGAGTGAACAGTCTCTTTGGTTCTCTCTGAAAATCTGTCTGCCTTTCCAACAAATATAAATAGATCTTTAAAAATATATATATGTTCCTAGCTAGGTATTTGGCTATGTTGTAACATTGTAAGTGGGACTTCTTTTTTGAATGCTTTTTCAGGTAATTAGCTTCTGGTGCACACAAACAATGCTGGTTTTTATGTAGGTTTTTGTTGTTGTTGTTGTCGTCACTTTTACTGTTATCCTGCACCTGCTGAATTTATTATCTCTAGTAAGTTTTTGTTAGAGTTTTTAAAATTTTCTATCATGAGAGGTTTCCCAAAGTTTATGGAAAATGTGTACAAAGCAAAAATCTAGGTGTGAATTTCAAATGTTTTCCACTAAAATAATCTCTGTTAATCTCATTTGTCCATTTACAGTATCCCTGTGTATAAGATAAGGCTGTCTGCAAACAGTAACAATTTGACTTCCTCCTTCCCTGTCTGGACGCCTTTTGTTTCTTTGTCTTACCTGACTGCTCTGGCTTGGAATTCCAGGACTATGTTGAGGAAAATTGTGAAAGTCGGCATCACTGTTTTGCTGCAGATCTTAGAGCTTTTCTTTGATTTCCCCATTCAGTATTTACATTTTTATTACCTTTTTAAAAGGAAAAAGGAAGAGCCATGATTCTAAAGATTACTAAGCCAGAGTCAAAATCAAAAAGGTCCCTTTCATGATTTACATTTGGTTTCTACCTTTCCCCCGAGCTAATAATGTGAAAAAGAAAAACAGAGAGGGAGATCTCCTATCTGCTATTTCACTCCCCAGATGACCACAATGGCCAAAGCTGCGCCAGGACACAGGAGCCTCTGCCAGGTCTCCTATGTGAGTATAGGAGCCCAAGAATTTGAGCCATCCTCCATTGCTTCCCAGGTGATAAGCAGGGAACTGGATCAGATGTGGAGCAGCTGGGAAATGAGCCAGCATCCATATGGGATACAGGTACCATAGGCAGAAACCTAGTCTACTACACCATGAAGCTTGCCCTTGAAACCTACTTTTTCTCAAAGATTTATTTATCTTTATTGGAAAGGCAGATTTAAAGAGAGAGGGAGAGACAGTGAGAAAGAACTTCCACGTGCTGGTTCACTTCCCAAATGGCCACAATGATCAGAGCCAAGCCAACTCCAAGCCAGAAGCCAGCAGCATCTTCTGGGTCTCCCATATGGATGCAAGGCCATCCTCTACTGCTTTCCCATGCAGCAAGTGCAGCAAGCAATGAGCTGGATGGGAAGAGGAACAGCTGAGACATAGTCTAGCACCCATATAGGATCCCGGTGCTTGAAGGAGGAGAATTAGCCAATTGAGCCATTGTGCCAGGCCCCCTGATATATATATGTGTGTGTATATACCTTTTTTAGTTTAAATACAAGAGCAGGAAAAGAGGTAAATATGTAGATCAAAGCTACTTCAATTCTGAATTACACAGTGATTAAGGCTTGACATCTTTGGTGTGGTTATGCAGCCATGTTCATGGCATCTGAAACCATGCCACGTGAAGGGCACCATTTCCATAAAAATCAGACATGGCACACACATAGCTTCAAGACAATCCCTAGCCTCCATAATGCCTGTTCACTTGGGGTGCCACATCTAGGGTTCCAACACACAACATACTTTCAGTTTTCGTTTGTATCACCAGAGTGAGAGACTTGTTATCTTGCTCATGGTCTGAATAGTCCCCCCCTCCCCTTTGTTGTGCTGTGAGCTGACACACAGAGCTAGTGACATGCTGGGAATACAAATATTTGCTGACCCTTGTCACAGTGGCAGATAGAATCTCTTTCTCACCAGACCTGCTGCTGCTGCCTCAGAGAATGATGTTCTAACCATGTCATGGCGTCCTCTATTCCTGAAACCCCGTCTTGGGATAAGAGAGCAAGATTAGTAGTCATGCTTCCTGGATTGGTCAAAAGTCTCCGACACTCTCCAACTTGGAAGCATTCAGAAAGTAGAGGGGATTCCCTCACATGTATATAAACCATTGTAGGTGCAGATACTAATGCTCTTCAAAGACTTCATGGAAAATCCATGTCATAAAAAAACTATGTGTGGAATTTTTTTGCGCCAAGACAAACTTCTTTCTTTCCATTTTCCATGTACTTTTTGACGTACACGTGTGTGTGTTGGGGGTAAAGATGGAGGGGATTACTTTGTACCATTTCCATTCTGTACTGTCTTGGAATGTTGGAACAGTGATCCTAGTAAAATCAGCAGTATTCTAGATGACAATTTTTGTCACTTAATTGTGATGCATACCATAGAAGCTCAATTGTTTTTTCCTATAAAAGGCCTGATACTGTGTCCTCACAGTAATGAGAGCTCCCATGTTGTTTCAGGAAAGTGTAGATCAATAAAATACAAAGTACTTGTTTGGAAGTGAAGGTTAAGTTCAAATTCAGTAAACTATTCTATGTAAAACACTAGTTCATTAAAGTGATTGACTGCTTGCTTTTTAAAATATAAGGAAACAATTGGATTTATTAGTATATTAAAAATATGTTGGCAAACCCCCAAAGGTGAACATAGAAACGAACCTATCTCTGTTATCACACTCAGTGATATGTTAGCATGCTAAGAGAGGTGTGGGGTGAGAAAAAGCATGAAAAATGGAGTGAGCACCAGGGAAAAATAGTTGGCCAATAAATAAGGAGAGAACAAAAATAGGTAACATAATGCCTGAGTAATGGACACAGTGGCAGGAAGATCTCCCAACAGACACAGTGTGAGGAGATGTGTAAGAGAGATTTATTTTCAGCCAGGCTCAACTGATGAGGAATGGACTTCTTTTTTTGTCATTTCAGTTTGTTTTATTTTGCCTTTTATGTCTTATTTCCAAAGGGCAATTTTTTGGAATATAGCAAAGTATTTTGAGTAGCTCAGAAGTAGATAAAAATACATAGATGGTACCTCCACATTTTGACTATTAGTTTTATTATTTAAAGTCTATATTGCCTAAACAAGAAATTTCAGAGGTGCGGTGGGTATCAGAACTTACATCCTAATAAATTGGAATACCTTTCTAAACACAGCTCTGAAAAACAAGATGAAACTTTCTTCCCCATGATATAACAAAATAATTGCTCTAATTTGCTCCCTTAATTTCTTCACTTCTAAAAAAATCATTGTTGAGTTGATCTTTAACTTGTTCGAATAGCTTTTCAATTAGTTTTTCTTTTTTAAAAAAGTTTCATTTTGTGCTTTTGAAAGGCAGAGTTATAAAGAAAGAGAGAGAGCAGGGGTGGGGTGTCTTCCATCTGCTGCTTTAGTCCCCAAATGGCAACAGTGGCTTGGATAGGGCCAGGCCCAAGGCAGAAGCCAAGAGTTTTATTCTGGTCTCCCATGAGAAAGCAGGAATCCATGCATTTGCGAGGTCTTCTGTTTCTCCCAGACATTTCATCAAGAATTAAAAGTAGAGCAGCTGGGACTCAAACTGGAACTCATATAAGATGCTGGCATTGCGATAGCTTCTCGGCCTTTTGGCTTCGATCAAGTAAAGATGCTGATATTGCAGGTACATGTTGTATCCACTATGCCACAACATCAGCCTCCAAAGCCTCACTTCTAATACTGATGCTGTACCCTATCTTTCTCTCCAAGCTAAATACTATTTTACTCCTTTAACATATAAGCTAATTTAACTTTACATTCATTATAGCCAACTATTTGGATCTATTTTCTTTTTTTAAGATTCACCTATTTTTTTATAGGGAAGGCAGATTTACAGAGAGAAGGAGAGGCAAAGATCTTCCATCAAAGATCTTCATTCCCTAAGTGGTTGCAATGGCTGAGGCTGAGCAGATCCCAAGCCAGGAGCCAGGAGCTTCTTCCAGGTCCTCCACATGGTTACAGGGTCCCAAGGCTTTGGGCCATCCTCCAATACCTTCCCAAGCCACAAGCATAGAGCTGGACAGAAAGTCGAGCAGCCAGGACATGAACCGGTGCCCAAATTGGATCCTGGCACCTGCAAGGCAAGGATTTACCCACTGATCTGTCACACTGGGCCCAGTTTCATTTTTTGCCATTCTAATCCTTCAGTGCATATATATGCATGTCCACATACACATATCTTTGAATTTTCTTATTTTTGTCCCAGAATGATTTTCTAAAAAAACATGCTTGGTTCAAGTGTGTTCATGGTTCCTGGCTCTGTGTTTTAATGATGATAGCTTCCATGCCAGAGGAAACAATGACTTTAGGAAAGCAGGAAGAGAGCTTGTCAGAGTTGACATCAGGGTTGGGCAGAGCATCTTCCATCAAAACCTATCAACCCTTTCCCTTTGTCAAAAGCTAACTTGCTTGGTGCCTTAGAAGAGGACTGGCTCTTTTGCTTGGGCGATTGGCTCATGGTTACAAGTAACAGGGACTGCACCTGGAAAAAACCTTAGCCCCTTTCCGGACTCTATTGGGAGGGGAGGTGATTACAGTTACCATGACAAAGGCTATTTGAACAGCTTTTGATGCTTCCATGCAAAAGGAGCTTTAAGCCAAGTACTACTTTACCCTAACCCTTTCTTCAAAGTTTCTTGAAATGCTGGTCCCTCTCTAATACTCCTAGATAGCTGCCCTCTCATGTGAACTGAGAAGAGACTTTAAAATATTCCCATAGTTGAAGGCAGCAAGTGACAGCCCCTGCAACTCATGTGGGAGACGCAGTAGAGCATTCACATGCCCTTGGCCATTGTGATCATTTTGGGAATCCACCAGTAGATTGAAAATCTTTCTTCCTTACCTCCCACCCAACACTCTGCCTTTAAAATAAGTAAATAAAATCTTAAAAGAAGATGTCCATTGCTAAGTCAAACAGTAACTCTTTCTTAGTGCGCGTCAACAGCATGTTAAATATTACCTCTTGCTAGAAAGTTAACCGGACCCTAAGGCTCAGTGGTTTCTAAATAGTAACTGAAAAATGAGAATTTATTTCCATTCCTTCATCACATCACATGAATTACCAACTCAAATGCTAACATAACTTTTTCTTTTTAACAGTTGGAGGCATCTGTACTGTGATTCAGACGAAGGCAAAAATAACAGCCAATGAATGGGGAGACAATTATTTTCTGATAGGTCCATATTTTGAACATAACATGAAGACCCAGGTGGAACAGTGTGAGCCTGCAAATGATGCTGTAAGAATAGCGGTGGACACAATGAACAAGCATGGCTGCCAGGTAAAGGATGTTGACTGACACTTTCCCTGCATCTTTCAGTGAACTCCCAGGGGAAAACAGACCACAATGGACAGGGACTCACAAAAGAAGACTCCAAACTTACTTAGGGGAGAAAAGCAGGTTTGTGAAAAAGACGATGCTCATGGTTTTTAACAGATGAGATTTGAGACATGTCATGAGAGCCAAGGGGCTAATGAGTTTGCAGCTCAGTAGAAGGCTTAGGATGGATATGTCTGGAGACAGTCATTTGCACTGTAAGCACCACAGTTCTCAGAAGGAGGCCGAAGAATGAGAATGACAGAGAAATGCCAGTGGTAGTAATGATTGGAGCCACGTACCCCAAAGACAGACGAATGCAGATTGCTTGAGAGGCAGAAAATGCAAGGAAACACATAATTTCCAAGATACTATGGATGGGGCATATGTCTATATGTTAACTTTAGCTAAGTCACCAGGTTTCACCATTTTTGTTTTTTTGCAAAAATAAAGGAGGAATTAAATCAACAAACGGCTGAACCAGGCTCAGTTGGGTCTGAAAATAATAAGGTTATTGACAATGTTACTAGGTAGAGTTTAAGAGAGTGGATAAGTGAACAGATGGAGAGCCAACAATTTAATTTCCACATTGGTAAAATGGGGCAAAGTATCAGAAGTACTGGAGGTAATTGTGAGGATTCTGAGATAGCGGTTCAATTAGTGGACCACTGTATTTAAAAGGGATAGTCAGAAAGAAAGTGATAATGTAGGAGAAAATGGCATTTCAGGACCTAGTATTCTTGAAGAGGAAAAAGAAAGCATAATCATTTGTTGCATAATGACAGGGATGTTTTGAGACCTGCATTCTTGGTTGATTTCAACATTGTTTCAACGTCACAAAGTATATTTGCACAAACCTAGACGGTATAGGGCAGTCACTGAATGTTGCTCTTGATGCAATCGAGAAACAGTCAACATGAGATATATGAGGCTGCTCTGAGTAGCAAGGCATACTGCTTTACCATCCTTGTTTTTGAAGAAGGGAGGTGTATTCTTCTATCCAAGTAGAAGGAGTGTATTCTAAAAAATACATAAGCCAATAACATATAGTCATTTATTATAATTATTGCATGCTGCAATAGCTGTGTGTGCTGTAGTTTACACAATTGAAGTAAATTGGTTTACAGCAGTGCCACCACAAATACGTGAAGAATGTACTGTACTGTGACATTATCACAGCTGCAATGTCACTAAGCCGTAAGATTTTTCAGCTCCATTATAATTGTGTGGAATAATGCATGAATACGGTCTGTCACCGATGGAAGCATCACTTTGAAACACACAATTGCACAAGTACATGCACTGGGAGACAAAAGAGAAACAACCAGGAGTAAAAAGCTGTGGTCAGGTAATAGAATGTTAAAGAGGAATATTTCAGAGAAGGAAGCATTTGGGTTTTAACAAGATTAAGAATGAAACTATTGAGTCTGAACAGCTAAAAACAGGTGTATGTGAAGCTCATCGATGCTGGTAAGGTCAAAGGACTATTAGATAAGTGTGTAGCCTGGACTTGATTTGCCTAACACAGGATCCAAAACCAACCAGCTGATTGAGTAGAATAAGGAAAAGTCATATATTTAGACATCATTAATTTCAAAAAATTCCATAAATACAGGGTAAGGCTTTAAAAGTTTAAGTGTATTTATAAAAGAAAAATCTTCCTTCATACTCACTAAAGAAAATGAGAAGCCCTCACTGGGGTGGGTACCTGTGGAGGCAGGGTGCCCAGGCTGGGCTTGCAAGGCTGACGGAGCACGACATGTTCCAGAGAGCACCAGGGAAATGCTCCATGGTGAAGGTAGCATGGAGAATGTTAGGAGACTGGCAGATGGATGCATGTTACACTCTTGGGATGAAAGTCTGAGGTATTCAAAGGGGCTTGCTTTTGAAGCTCATGTAAAGGAAAAGGGAAATGAGAAACACAATGGAATTGCCTTGTTGTGAAAATTCTAAGGGCCAGAGAACTGATGCTCTCCACACAACCCAACCAGAGACTCCAGATGCCTCTAAACTCTTTGTGCTTGTTCAAATTGCTGCCTTTGTTGTTAGTGATCTCCAAGAAATTAGGAGGTCAATCATGTTATTCTCCTGGGAGATGTGGGGTAGAAGCCAGGCCCTTGGGGTGCAGCTGAAGAGGCTGGGATTTCAGATGTGTGCTTTGATCTCTTTTCCTCATTTCTGCAGGAAGGATGCTTCCATATCATGGGTGGAAAAGGATCAGAAATCAAGACAGGTAGCTTACATATTCAGTTGGTAATTCTAGCCATTCTCTAGGATCTTAGCTCACTGTATTGTATATGAAATAGTCAACATCCAGTAGCTGTTTGTTAAGTAAGTCCATGAATGAATGGATATCCCAAATTAAAAAAAAAACTATTGGTAACTTATCTGAGGCTTAGGAAAGTTCAATCTTAAAAGGAGAGCACAGTAAGATAAATACTAAACAATGACAGAAGCAGCTGGCATGCAATGAGAATCACAAGGTTGGCCAAGGCCTGGGTAGCTGATAGACACCATCACACATGCCTGAGTCCCTGGGGGAGGAAATGATGATTACATTGGGTTTTCAAGCTATGCAAAATTCAAACTTGAGTGGAGCAATAAGAGTCAAGCAATGTGGACTCCATTTTCCAGTGAGATCTGGCAAAGAGAAAGACCAAGCTTCTGTTGAGTTCCAGAAAGGTACTGAAGTAGCTTATTGGGTTACATACAGTATCTATCACAGGGTAATACATCTAATAAGAAAGACAACAAAACAAATAAACTAATATATATATATATATATATATATATATAAAATGAGACCAAAAGGAAATTTTAAAACTTAGATACATAGGTGAGTATATAATCACATTTTTTTAAATTGAGGCATATTATACATTAAAATTTGTTAAGGAGTATTTACGAATCAAAGAAGTCAATTTAAAGAATGTACTAAGATTACCGTTTTGAAAAAAATGTGTTCATGTGAAAGGCAGAGCTACAGAAAGAGAGGGAGAGACAGAGACAGAAATGTCTTTCATCTGCTGGATCACTCACCAATAGGCTGCAATGGCTGAAGCTGGGCCAGGCCAGAGGCAGGAACCAGAAGCTCCATCTGTGTCTCCCACATGGGTGGTAGGGGCCACAATACCAGGATTAGACTTGGAGCTGCTGGATTAAAGAGAAAATGTGTCATGGACAACTTATTTAGTTAAGATAAACAACAGCAACCACACTGGGATATATGTTGGGCTAATTTTGCGGGGAATACTAAGTTAAATTACACATTTTTGCCTCCTGAAAAAGCTTCTTTTTCAATGGGAAATTTTGAAAGTCTTATCCCACAAAGAAAAGTGACTTCACAGACATCGTATGTAACTATAGGTCACTAAACATACAGATCATTTTACTTTATAATTCATCATAACAGTTTAGAGTCTGATGTTAAACTAGGTATCTACAGGCTCAAGTTCACAGCAGAGTACCATGGGATAGAAGGAGAGATTCCATGATCTAGATGTATTTTCTTTAAGGACCAAGTTTAATGAGGATCCATAGCTTGGAAACTGCACCCATGGACAGAAGTCCTTTCCATATTCCAGATCAAACATTACGTGTACTCTGTTTTCACTACTCTTTGCTAGGTAGTTTGCTGAATCTCCTCTTGATTTCTGAGTAAAACTCACACCCTCTAAGCATCAATACATCTTTTTAATCTCTAGCATTACTCATAATTACTACACAGTTTGTGTTCTTTATATAACAGGTGCATTTTGGGAGATGGCTGATTGAAGGAAGTCCTTACGTGGTGCTCTTTGACATCAACTACTCAGCCTGTAATCTGGACCGGTGGAAGGGTGACTTCTGGGATGCATGCAGTGTTGGTATTCCTTATCATGACCGAGAAGCCAATGATATGCTGATATTTGGATCTTTAACTGCCTGGTTCTTAAAAGAGGTACAGTGATAACAACATAGGAGTAGTACAACTGGGTGCAATACCCATTGGTGATCCCACAAACTTTGGATTACACTAGTTTTAGATAATGCCACTATTCTGCAAAATTATCTATTTATCAAAGGACTGACTTATTTTAATTTGAAAGGTAAAGAGATAGAAACAGAGACACAGAAAGATCCTCCCTCCACTGGTTTACTCCCAAATGCCTGCAACAAACAGGGCTGGGCCAGACTGAAGCCATGGGACTGCCATAGGGGTAGCAGAAACCATCACCTGATATCCCCCAAGGTATGTATTAGCAGGAAGGTGAAATGGTGAGCAGAGATCGAAACTGAATCTAAGCACTCCAATGTGGGATACAGGCATCTCAGGTAGAGTCTTAACTGCTGCTCCACCCACTTGTCCCCAAAATGATGCTATTATTGACTGTACTAACATAGTTAAAGGAACTTAAAGGATGTTTAGTACTTCCTCACTAAATACTATCCTTGTAAACACAGTAATACTATTTATTAATGATTACTTCATGTCATGTGTGCTAAGTGTTATAATCCCTGCCTGAGGTTAACTCTAGTGACTTTCCATTTTTTTGTTTTGGCGTCTTAAGGTGCTTTCCCCCCATTTCCCATTACCAACACTAACAATTTATATTGGGAGTGGAGTGTGAAGGTTAACTTTCTACAAGGGTGGAACAAGGCAGCTGTAAAGAATAGAGACAGGTGCCTTGCTGGATGGAGTGGAATCAGACGTGGGTCCTCCTTTTGTCACAAACGCTAAGTGCTTCCACACAAGTGGTTAACCTCTTTCTTCCCAGTTCCATATTCCTAAAATAATAACAGTGTAGTTATAATGCTTTGGGCTCAAAAGAACAGAAAACCCAAATAAGATGCTCATAAAGCACAGAGTCATTTATTACATATTTTAAAAGCTTATAAGGAAAGTCCTAGTTGTTTAAGCTATTTCATGGTACCTTCAAGTTTATAATATTGCTATAATTCATTCATCAAAACAATGAATATCCATTGAGTTCCAAATGTGTATTTTTTTAAAGATTTATTTATTTTTATTGCAAAGGCAGATATACAGAGAGGAGGAGAGACAGAGAGGAAGCTCTTCAGTCCAATGGCTCACTCCCCAAGTGACTGCAATGGCTGGAGCTAAGCCAATCCTAAGCCAGGAGCTCTTCCAGGTCTCCCATGCAGGTGCAGGGTCCCAAGGCTTTGGGCCATCCTCGACTGCTTTCCCAGGCCACAACAGGGAGCTGGATGGGAAGCAGGGCCACCCGGGATTAGAACTGGCATCCATATGGGATCCCAGTGTGTGCAAGGCGAGGACTTTTAAGGACTACACTATTGTGCCGGGCCCCAAATGTGCATTTGTTCTATTTATTTATCAATATTTATTATGAATATTAGTATTTATTCTTCTGTGGATACAAAAAATACGATCCGTTATTGAAAGCAAAGGTGAAGGCATCAAAAACCTGTATTTTAGAACAAGATCTTATAAAAGATTTAGTGTTGGTAAATCTGCATGCTTCTTGGGTAGACCCTACTCCACTGTGATATCCTATACAGGCATCATAAACAGTGCAGTGTGGACCCAGACAACATTAAGCTTCACCAGCAGCTCTTCCCAATGCTCTTTTTTGATGCAGGTGACAGATCACGCAGACGGCAAGCATGTCATCACCCACTTCCATGAATGGCAGGCAGGGACTGGACTAATCCTTTCTCGAGCGCGCAAACTTCCCATCGCCACGATATTTACCACACATGCCACACTGCTTGGACGCTATCTCTGTGCAGCAAACATTGATTTCTACAACCAGCTCGATAAGGTAACTAGTTATCCTTCCATTCCCCACCCACTCCTTTTCTCAGTCGTCTGAAGCTGGGGGCGGGGGGGGGGAATATTGATCTTGACATTTCATTTGCCAACTGGATGGCAGAAATGCCCTTTCAGCTGATCAATATTCAAGAAAAAACATGCCCCAGGGTGACAGACAGCTAACCCTGTTCAGAGTACAGTCCAGGACAGCATGGTGAGAGGTCTGGGTCCTGTCCTACTCTGGAGCAGTAGATCCAGAGGGGAATGGTTGAAATCAACCCCTGTGTGGTCAAAGGCTGGGCTTCTGTTACGCCCTCAAATGTGGGACAGGTTGGGAAGAGCCAGGATCCACCCACCGCCCCAAGTAACAGTCAGAAAACAGAAATTCCAGGTGTACACAGCTGCTTTACCTACTCTCTGGAAACTAACCATTGATTGCAAGCCGCATGATAGGTCAACAGGTCAGGTTTTTGCTCTGGTTGTGTGGTACATGTGTTTTTATAGGCGCCAGTGGAACAGAAACTACTGAAAAGAGGTGTATAGGTCCGTGGTGAGTTAATGTTTGCTGACTTCAGGAGAAAACTCAGTTACCAGAGATTTAGGGGTTCTGTAGATTTTGTGTTTCTAGTGTCAACCAAGTTTGTTTTAGAGTGCAGTTTCACTATCAGAAGAAGTAGGAAGCTGCAAAGTTGATATGTAAAGACTTTAGTTTAAAAAGCATTTGTGTGGTGTGTGTGTGTGTATATCTCTCACAGAGAGAAAGAGAAAGAGAGAGAGAGCATGCCATATATAATACTCAGATAATGATACTGGAAAATTATGCTACCATTTCAAAGACATCTTGAATGCAATAAAGTTCTTTTAAAAATTTGAACGTTTGTAAAGCAGTGAGTGTCCTAATGTAAGCTTTCCTGTAAAAAGGAATTTAACCTACAGGTCAAATTATAAATGTAAGATGCACATTTAACATAAAGTCACCAAGGAATTCAAAGTACCGGGAGATCATGGAAATTTCCTTGTGGTGTATGATGACAGCTGACTAATAAGGGCAAACCAGTGATCTGTGATAAGTTCAACAACCATGATTCCTGGAGAAAACAGGCTTTCATTTTTGTGAAAGAGAAAATTGAGCATGAATACTTAGGAATGTCAGATGATAACAGATAACAGAAAATAACTACCTATACATATGGGATTTTGGTATTTAAGTACAATTAATAAATGTATCCTGGGATGCAGATGAACACTGTAACTCTTTCCTTTTGATGAGAGGTCAATATCTGGATGTTACTGTCTTCACATGCAGTTCTGCATCTCCCCAGTGTGAAGACGGGTCTCATCCCAGATCGTCTTTCTAGTAAAAGGGATAATCCAGAAACGAGCAGACTAGACAGTCAAGAACTATATTGTGAATTCGCAATTTTTTAAATAATAGAAGCCCTCCCACTCATAGTAGGTTTAGCATATGGATGATTTATAAGAACACAAAACTATAAACATGAAAGATTTCCAAGGTTCAACATAAGGAACAAATCATAATTTACTCCTTGATGCAGGGTTTAGCATCAGCCTCAGTAAGTTCTGACACAAGCAAATATTAAGCATAGAAGAGCAAGTACAATGTATGTTAGTTTTTATGGGAGCAAAGGATATTAGAACTGTTGTGCTCAAATGCTATTGCTAACTGAATATACTTCTCTGTTAATCTCCAATTCACAAGATTTTGATGCTGGTTGAAGTTCTGAGTAACATTCATTAGCAAATATACATATATATAATATTTATATTTATATAATTAAATATAAATGAAATGATTATATTTATAGATTATAATATAAATATAATATAAATTATATTTATAATTAAATATTATATATTTAAATTTATATATATATGCACTTGTATACATATATATAAATTTCAACCACTTTCCAGTCAGCTTATAAATTTCTGGAGACCTTCCAGGATGTTTCCAAATAAACACTGGTCAATTATCCCTGTGACTAGAGTGGCCAAATAATTAACTGCTTATAAAAGGCCTTTAGACTACTTATGATCTGGCAACTTTTTTTTCTCAAGAGCAAAAGCATTTCCTGCCGGAATATCTGACGACAGTGCCACCCAGGACCAGAAAACAGGCGAAGGTTAGACAGTCTGGCTTGCACTTAGGACATTCCTATTTCACGTCAGAGTATTTGCCTTCAGCACCTCCCTTCGGCTCTTGGCTCCTACTTCCCACCAATGCAGAATGTGGGAGGCAGTGATAACAGCCTAGGAAAGCAGTGGAGGATGGCCCATATCTTTGAGTCTGTGCACCCACATGGGAAACTGGGAAGAAGCTCCTGACTCCTGAGTTCAGAACAGCTCAGCTCAGCTGTTGTGGCCATTTGGGCAGTGAACCAATCTGTGCACATGAGCAAGTTTATAGAAAATAAGCATTATGAACAAATTACACGTTTGCCTCCTGCATTCTACAGCAAGGTTACAGTCACATCAGACGTCTGGGTATTTTCTGCCAGTACTGTGGCAATTTCTGTCCTTGTTCCTTGGAGACCCTAACTTTTCATCCCCAAATAATCTTCCCCAAATTAAACTTTCATGTCCCAGTTTGAAAGTCATTTCATTCATGGGGCTGTTTTGGAGACACAGAGATGAATAAGTTCCGGTCATTATAGTTGAAAACCTCACCTTCTCGAGGTGATGGTGATAACATACATACTGACTGGATAGCATGAAGCATTTATCCCATCCTTAGCCAGATGAGCCGAACCTGCTCTGATATATCTTAATCTGGCAGGTACTCATTTGTGTTTGATTTTCACTTCTTTCCCCATTAATTATAAAGTCCTTGAAGATAACAAATGTACAAAGCTTTCTCAACAAATGTTAGCTGGATGATGGGTGATTGATGGATTGAGACTTCATCTTTCACAAAAGCTTCTGCCAAGAATACCACAGAAAGCCTTCCTTCAGACATTCTTTCGAGATAGTTGCAAATGGCTATGAAATATTGTTCTACGATATCCCTTGCCCAGTCATTAGAATCATCAAATGAATCTTATTTTTAGTATGGTCCTTTCTGTGATGTAGTAATTGTTGGAACTAACTTGTTGACAGAGCTGAAGTCTAAACAATGTAAAAGCAAGTAAGTGCAGTCTTTGGTGTCAGGTTGGTGATGAATTTAGTGTTCTGCTAGGAGATCATGTAATAGTAATATAATTGTGGTCATGCTTCTTGACTTCTAAATGATTCATTTGCTCTCTCTTTAAAAATGAAAACAAATTAACACGACACGGTAGTTTATGAGAATTAAATGGACTATTGTGTTTAAAAAGGTTTCTACCGTGGACTGATGAAAAACTAGCAATAATTTTAAGAAAAGCATTCTCTGAGGGATAAGCATTGTGGTGCAGTGGTTTAAGCTACCACCAGCAACACGGGTGCCCCATGGGGACATTCTACACTCCAGTTCTGATCCTGTTCCCTGTTAATACATCTGGGAAAGCAGCAGAAGACTGCCCAAGTAGTCCAACCCTTGCATTCATGCAGGTGACCCAGATGAAGCTCCAGGCGTCAGCCTGCCCAGCCCTAGCTGGACAGTGAACCTGGGGAGGGAGATCCCACTCCGCCTCTTTGTAGCTTTCCCTTTCAAATCAGTCAGTCAATCACTCTTGTTCTTTTTTTTTTTTTTCAAATGAAGAGCACTCTGCTGATAAAGCATCAGAAGTTTTATCTACTCTTTTTTTTATTTCTTGAAAATCATTAGTGTCACATGTAGCTGTGTTTAAAACAATGTTATGTGACTGAGCGAAGTGCAAATAGTCTATACTACTGCAATTACTTAAGAGGTTGCTGGGGATTTGGCTTTTTTTAGGTTACAATGCACAAAATAATAGATGATTGCACAATTTAATGCACTATCTAATCAGAATAGCTGTGTACTCTTTGCAATTATAAAGTATAAGGAGTTACACATCTGTGGGAAAATGTCTGTTTCAGGTTCCTTTTCAGTAGATTGTGATAGATAATACTTATCCTTATTTTCATATCAAGTTAAGGTCAACTTTGTTACATTGTTTCTGAGAAAAATAAGATGACAACTTAGGGAGTGTAATTAACTTGTCTGGAAATGTGGATTAAACAAGAGTCTAATAAAATTTAAGAATTAAATTTGCAGTGAAATGGAAACACCATTTACTTAAGGGATTATATAGCAGGAAAAGCAAAATCAACAATGCTTTTTAGAGCATATGTAGTTACGTGGTTTAGTAACAGGCTTAGTAAAAAATTACTGTTGATATTGGTGGTCATAAAGTATCATTATAGCCTATCAGAAAACTATTTGTGAAATACATGATTTTGCTTTGATTGTGTGGAAGGATTCACATAAGTAAATGTCTGTACATTTTCCCCCAACAGTTCAACATAGACAAAGAGGCTGGGGAGAGGCAGATCTACCACCGGTACTGCATGGAAAGGGCGTCTGTGCACTGTGCGCACACATTCACCACAGTGTCTGAAATTACAGCCATAGAGGCAGAACATATGCTCAAGAGGAAGCCTGGTAAGTATCAACCCAAGTTTGTAACCTGACTGTGGAGTGTGTGGATTTTTTTTTTCCAGGAATAAAGCAATAGTTAGACAGAATGCTACATCTACTCTTCCCCCAGTCCATCCCCTGCCAGGGGATATGTTTGTTTTATCATGAAGTGAGTAAAAAATTTTTTTTCAGGGAGAGTGATTGGCTATTACTTGCTGATGCATATCCTTTTCTGTACAATAATATTTTACTAATTCATTAGCAATCCCATGGGTATTTTGAAATTAACTCAGTAATACAGTAAGTATAATGTATCAGAGTTCAAAAATTATTCACATGCAAACTTTTTTGTACTCATTTCTTCCTACTTTATATCTTTTTAAAAATTTTATGGTACAGTTCCACAGCCTCTGGGATTTCCCTTTCCCCTTCTCTAAATTCCTTCACCCCTAAATAATTATCCCCCCAAATTATCACAACAGTATAGTCCATGAACAGTTATAAGTCTATCATTCTGCTATTTATGTGTATCCTGACACTGTAGGTATGGAGAATGGCAGAGTTCAGCATCCTATTGTCAAAATATATTGAACAGTTTCATTGGGAGTCTGTCTTTATTTTGGAAGTAGAGATGCACACTGCATTGTGTCCTCACATCAGGATACGACAGTCTGTTGCACAGTTACTATACCTCCCCTTAAATGAAAGCGAGAGAGAGAGAGAGAGAGAGAGAGAGAGAGAATGAATATTACTGATTCTTCCCCCACAAAGAAGCAAAAGCTTTTGCTGACCTCAGAGTTGAGGAATACATTAAGAAAATGGGGGATGAAGAAGTTAAAACAAAACAAAACAAAACAAAACAAAAAACCACTTGTTATAAAGCTTCTTATCAACAATGAGAAGCACCTATAGGAATTTAAGGAATATGTCATCCAGGAAATAGCAACACCGAAACAAAACCAAGCTGGATTATTGGAAAGGAAGGACACAATCATCAATCAAGTAATAGATTATCAGACTGAATAAAAAAAATAAACCTATGTATTTACTGCCTATAGGAGACATCTTACCAACAAAGATATGTGGAAACAGAAAGTGAAAGGATGGAAAAAGGTAGTCCAGGCTAATGGAAAGGAAAAACGATCTGGTATAACTATTCTTAAATCAGAAACTATAGGCTTTGATATGAAAAATATTAAAAGAGATGAAGGACACCATATACTAATCCAAAGATCCATTCAGCAAAAAGAGATCACCTTACTAGTTTCTTAGGATATTTTCTTTTTCATCTAATTTTACTTGGTTTTTCTCTTTGCTTATCTTCTTAAAAATGACTCTTGTTGCAATTTTCTTTTTTATTTCTCAATGACACATGGATCATTCAGTAGCATGTTACTTAACTTCATGCTGTAAATTTTCTGTTTTTCTTCCTGTTGTTGATTTTATTTTGTAGTTTTTCATTTAAGGGCATGTATAGTAACTGTGCCTTGCGAAGGCTCAGAAGAGGCAGTGAATATGGATGTGTGAGGGTCACTACCTAGATTTTCTCAAGTTCTCAATCGTGTTTCTGGTGGCTTCACCTTGGAGCTCCACAATATTATCTAGGCCTTTTTAAACTACTGATAGAATCATGTGGTGCTCCTGAATTGTAAAATATCTGAATGTTTTGTGGCTTAAGGTCAACACATTTCTTTAGTAGATTATTAAACACACAAGCTTTTTAAAGTACATGTTAAAAAGGTATCACGTGGCATACTTATGATTGTATTTTTCAGTTGTTCTTCCAAGTTGTTCCCAACCACAAGGCTGAGCCCTAGTACCAGAGCATGAGGTAGATGTTGGCTGGATAAAAAGTTTACATAGAAGCAGATACTTTAACAATATGGAAAAAATAATAGTCTTATCCACTTTCCTGTAGCCCTTGAACCTTTTTACCCTAATTAACTATGTAAAGACTGTCAAAATATTAAAAAAATAAATTAAAAAAACAAAGAAGCAGATACTTTAAGAGTATACCAATAGGGCTTGGAGGCGTGGCCTAGTAGCTAAGGTCCTTGCCTTGAATGAGCCAGGATCCCATATGGTCGCCAGTTCCAATCCCGGCAGCTCTACTTCTCTATCTCTCCTCCTCTCTGTATATCTGACTTTGTAATAAAAATAAAATAAGTCTTAAAAAAAAAGAGTGTCACCCACCATATACTGCTTTTAGTGAAGAAATGCTTTATTACTATAATTTTATACTTTAAAATAACTTTGACTCTAAATTGTTTTTTAAAGATTTATTTATTCATGGGGCTGACATCAGGATGTAGCAGGCTAAGTCCCTGCCTGTGGTGCACTGGTTTAAGGCCTGGCTGCTCCTCATCTATCTAGCTCCTTGCTCATGCTCCTGGGAAAGCAGCAGAAGATGGTCCACATCTTTGGGTCTCTGACCTAACGTGGGAGACCTGAAAGAAGCTCCTGGCTCCTGGCTCTGGGCCTGCCCAAATCCAGCTATTGCAGCTATTACAGAAGTCAAACAATGCATGAAAGATCTCTCTCTCTCTCTTCCTCTTTCTGCTTTCTCTTTCAGTCTTTCTGTAACTCTACCTTTCAAATAAAAATAAATGAATATTATTTTTGAAAAATTTAACTTTAAAACAAACCACTTATTTATTTATTTGATTCTCGGAGAGATAAAGGCATACTGTGCTAATTACAGTTTATAGTTCATTTAGGGAAAGTTGTACTGGAAACCTCGGTGACTTTGGTTTGACTTCACTGTGGTAGCTGGAGTGTGTGACGGGACACGAGCAGCCCTCCACACACACTGATGCTGCATTCACAGATTCAAACCTCATATTTTAGTCATATTATTCTGATTTCCTCCTTCAGCCAAAAGACTAGACTTCGGAATCTTATTAATTTTAAATTCAACCATGGTCAGCAACTAGATATGCTAATAGATGTCTAACTTCATATACTTAAAAAAAAAGCCTCTCTCAAAATGGAATTTTCCTGATTTTGTTTTGCTTTTTTAGATGTAATTACTCCGAATGGATTGAACGTTAAGAAATTTTCAGCTGTTCACGAGTTTCAAAATCTCCATGCCATGAATAAAGCGAGGATCCAAGATTTTGTTCGAGGCCATTTCTATGGGTATGATTTTGTTCTCTTTTTAAGTTTGTATTTATTTTTTGTTTGAAAGCAGGGGAAAAGAGTTAGAGAAAGAGACAGACAGAGAGATCTTCCATGTGCTGGTTCACTCTTCACTGGCTCAAATAGCCAGGGCTGGGCCATTCTGAAGTCATGAGCCTCTAACTCTATTCTGATCCCCTACGAGGACGGCAGGAACTCTAGTACTGGCATCATCACCTGTGACCTCCCAGAGCAAGCATCAGCTGGCAGCTGGAATGGGAAGTGGAGTCAGAACTCAATCCCAGGCACTCCAATATTGGATGTGAACATTCCAAGTGGTGTATTAACCATTGTGCCAAGTAACTAATCCTATGCTATTCTTTATTTAAAAAGAGATAGAAGGTGATCATTTTAAGCATCTCAGATAGCTAAAAAGAAAATAGGATTGTTATAGTAAACATTTGACTTTCCTAGTCTCTTTTTCCCCTCAATAGAATATGTGTGTACATGTTGTCACTGTTGCTTTAATTAACTCATAACTGTTTTGTTTTGTTTTAGTCACCTCGATTTTGATCTTGAAAAGACTCTGTTTTTCTTCATTGCTGGGAGGTATGAGTTCTCAAACAAAGGAGCTGACATTTTTCTAGAATCCTTATCCAGGCTAAATTTCCTGCTAAGGGTAAGAAAGTTCTATGATATAACATATAGCTGTTGTAAGGATGACTACCAATGAGAATCACAGAACTTTTTTTGGCTTCTCAGAAAGTCTTACAGAGAATATAGGGCTTTGAAGACTGAAAATGAAAACCTTATTCAAAAAATGACTTCAACCCTTTGAATTCACATATTATATTCCTCACACAGGTATTTATGTAATCAAGTATGATTTTTTCTCAAAAACATTCAAGCGTATCACATGTGCTGTATCCTAAGAAGCCATTATAACATTCATTTCCTCTTACATAAGTTTGTAACCAATCGAAAGATAAATATATAGAAAGTAAGCAAATAAAGAGCAAAATATCATCTGTTTAAAGCAGTGAAGATTGGCTTGGATTTACAACAGCAATGGAAGTTGCAAATCAGTAACACCAAACCTGGGTATTACAACTAACTTACTAGTCACAGGCAGCTCTGGCCATAGTCACCCTCCCCCAACTGACTCAGGCCTTCAGAGAAATAACGGCTCATGGTCAAGAACTGCAGCACCAGCTCTTGGTGGGACACAGCAGGAACAGCCCCTTCTCCTTTCCAACTCACCAGTTCTGCTCCCTCTCTAAGAGGAAGATATCTTAAAGTGTTAAAGTAGGAGATGTCTTACCACTAGGAAATAGAAAGAAGGGAAAAAGAAGCTCTTAGTCCTAATGATGTGGAATCATTTTTTTTTTCCTTTTGGCTCATAAGTTTCCCTAACTAGTTCAGAAATGAAATATTTTCCAGTAGAAGCAGTTTTGATAATGATACTATGTCAAAGAAAGCTATGAACTGAAGTTATTGGGAAGATACTTATAAGGAGACAAATATAAACATCTATCTTATCAAAATACCAAGATAGCTATATTGTCCTGAGCTCTGTACCATACTCCAGCTAAGCTTTTTCTTGGACCTAGAATCTTTACCTTAGAGAAAACATTACACCAAGAATACAGGAAAATTTTCTAGAATCTCATTAACAAAGAAGGAATATGTTAAAAAGAGCTTAGGTTTGTAAAAGAACTGAAGATCACAAAGATTATTCAGGAATAATCTCATTTCATATGTCCTAGTATGCAACTACTCAACAGACTTTATAAACAGACTCACTACTATATCAAATACACGTTTAGTCCACTATTAATAAATGTATCCATTTAATTATTAAATAGTTATTTTCTTTTTATTTGTGAAGAAACAGCCTATTGCCAGTATACTACATATCAAAGATCATTACCATAGGCCCTTGTGGCTGCCAATTAAGCCATTGTTTGGGACACTTGCATCCCACAGCAAAGTACCAGTGGAGCCCTAGCTACTCTGCTTCCAACACAGCTTCCTACTAATGCATCCTGGGACACAGCGGTGATGGCTCAAGTGCTTGGGCCTCTAGCACAAATGGGATTGTGAGATCCTGCCTTTGACCTGGCTCAGCCCTGTCTGTTGTGGGCATTTTGGGAAGCGAACAGGTAGATGGAAGATCCATCTCTTCCCCCACCTCTCTGTGACTCTGCTTTCCAAATAAACAAGTTAAGTTTTAAAAAATAATAATTACCATATTTGGAGAAGTTAGAAAAAGGCATTTGCTTTCCACAGTCCATTTATTCTTTGACAATGTATTTTCTCCTCTTGAAGTCAGTTTCCTCTTCTACAGCTTCTGTAGAAATAAAAGCCAGTTTTGAGAACTGAAAACATCAAATAAAATCCCAGCTCTGCCACTAACCTATTATAGGAGTTCAAGAAAACCATTGAATCACTCATGCCTCTATTTTGACATTAATAAAAGCATACATGATTATTCTGATAATTAGGTTAAATTATGTATTTAAAGCATACCGGTGCCTGCATGCTAAGCCAAAAGTACTATGCATATACTTGTTTCTTTCTTTTGGAGCTAATAACCATGATGCAACACTTAGAGAATGGACATTTGGTGGAAAACTGTAAATTGTATATTGTTCACATTAATGTGAATGAGTTAGAATAAATCAAGACACCATAATGAAATCCTAATAAATTTTCAGTCATTTTATTTATTTTTAAATAACTTTAAGAAATGTTTCCTTTTTTTGTATTTATTTTAGCTGAAAGGCAGAGAACAGGGAGACAGACACAGATCTTCCAACTGCTTGGTCACAATCCAGATGGCCATGGCTGAACAAGCTGAAGCCAGGAGCCTGGAGTTCAACCTGGGACTCTCAGGGGGGTGGCAAAGACTTAAGTACTTAACCCATCACCTGCTGCCTCAATAAGTGTGCACTTGCAGGAAGCTGCTATCAGAGGCAGAAAAACCAAAACCTAAACCAGGCACTCCAATATGGCATATGGGTATCCCAATACCCATGCCAAACACCCATCCATGAAATTTTAAAGAACTACTTCTGGAGAATATTCCATGGGAAGGCACCATGACATCAACTGATTCATGTATTGTAGAATCAGTGCCATGAACAAGTCTTGTGCGAACTTTCAAACTGTTAACTGATAAATCTTGATTAAAAGCCAGATTTAGATGAACCTCTTTGAAAACATCTCAGGAAGGTGGAAATAGTTTCTCTGTGAACCATCAGTTTTTTTTTTTTTTTCAAAGTTTAAGGTTCATCTCTCACATGCCTTTGACTCTTTGGTGTTTGACTCTGCTGTTTTCTAACCCCCATCAGATGCACAAGAGTGACGTCACGGTCGTGGTGTTTTTCATTATGCCTGCCAAGACAAATAATTTCAATGTGGAAACCCTGAAAGGACAGGCAGTGCGAAAACAGCTATGGTAATCTCACATCTTGAGAGTGTTGTCAAGCATTAAATGTGAGGAATTTATTTTTTCATCTTATTTTTAGTTGACATATTTACTGGGCACTATGTGATGTCTTGATACCTATATACATTGTGTAATGTTTAATCTCGAGTAAACATGTAACATCCTCCTTAAATGCATAACGTTCTTTTATGTTGAAGCCATTAGAGATCCTTTATTCTAGTCAGTTAAAAATTTAGAAAAGGAAAGATAGAGCACTCTTGTGGAAATTTCAAAAAATGTATTCCAAAATAAAGTGATTATTAAAAATGACTTCCCTTCCGTGTTCCTAGCCCAGGATTCAGAAATCGTCAACTAATTCCAAAACTTGTTACATTTATACCTTCATTCTCTCATATGCCCTATCCTCTCTGAACACTCTGCCGCTTAGGTTCTAAAGGATTTTAACTCTAGAGGCTATACAAAAGAGACCTGTGATTTCAAAGAATGCTGGTACAACGATAGCATTGCCATGAGAGTATAACAGTTATAATGCTGTTTAGGTGACAAATCTTTGTATTCCAAACAGGGACACTGTGCATTCAATGAAGGAAAAGTTTGGAAAGAAACTGTATGATGCATTATTAAGGTAGGGGCTTAGAATAACTAACTCTTCAAGCACTTAGCATTTCACTACACTCTTCAGTTTAGACACTGTGATATGTTTATTTTGTTCCAAATATGAAAGAAGTTAAAGCCTTTGCCAATGTGGTATGTCGCACAAGCAATGCTGTATCCTTCATTTGATAAACACTTGTAAGCAATGTGTGCAGATGAGAATATATTTGTGTATGCAGGTAAATTCTAATTCATTTGGGGAATTTATTCATGATTAATGTGTCACTGTGAAGATGAGGGAGATTTAATACCAAAATATAAGTTGTTTTAATACATACTTAATATATTTACTTACATATGAAAACAAAATCACAATTTGTTTAATAAATAACAAACATTAGTTGAGATAAACAAAGCATGTGGTCTATATGTTTAACACTTGGGAAGCACTCAGAGCCTGTGGTTTTTATTGCTAACTCTGTTTTCCCCACAGAGGAGAAGTTCCTGACATGGATAACATTTTAGATCGAGATGATCTAACAATTATGAAAAGAGCCATCTTTTCAACTCAGGTAGCAAAGAAAAAAGTGATCACTATTTCCACAATTATCAAAATCAATATTTTTGTCTAATGGGCATGAGCTAATTTGGGAAGCATTTAGAACTCAGAGTTAGAAATGACATTCTTACACAGTCCCTTCAAATGAGCGACTTTGTATATTCTATCATGAGTTGTCTCAACAACTTCCTTGAAATTCAATGAAATTCCTCTTGGTATCCACTTACAATGTTAACTTGGAACCAACGTAACTAGTTGAAAAATTGTATGTTATAGTAATAAAAGGTACCTGAGGCTGGTGCTATGGTGTAGCAAATTAAGCCTTTTTCTGTGGCACTGGCATCCCCTATGAGAGCTTGTTTGAATCCCAGCTGCTCCACTTCCAATCCAGCTCTCTGCTAATGGTCTGGGAAAGCAGCAGAGGATGGCCCAAAGCCTTGGACCAGCCACCAGAAGATGCTCCTGGCTACAGACCAGCTTAGCTCCAGCTATTGTGGCCATTTGGGAAGTGAACCAGCAGACACAGACTCTCTCTGTGTCTGTCTCCTTCTAACTCTGCCTTTCAAATAAACATTTTAAAAGCTCCTAATTTTTCTCTGAGGCATAGAATTTTAGTCACTGTAGAAAAACCATTTCCAAGTCAAAAGAAACTCTTTCAAAACATTTTAATCCAGCCCCCAAATTCATGTCCTAACATTGGGGCATTGAGTCCTGAGGGACAGCCCCAGGAGAAGAAACCAGCAGAGTTCATCTTGAGTTAAGATTTCAGGACACCTTAATGTTATAAAGAAGGTCCAGGAGCAGCTGAGAAAGCCTGGCTTCTGCAAGGTGCCATGGGAAAACAAAAGGTTCATACGTTTGCAGTAAGACACAGGCAGACAGAGTGGTCACTGCCAGTGTCATTCCCACGCACTGAAGGCGTGAAGGTCAGATGGAATGTCAATCATTATCGCTGAAATGAGCAATGTGCAGCCACCCTCTCCACAGCTGACATTTCCTTCTCTCCCTGACTTCAGCGACAGTCTTTGCCTCCAGTGACCACTCACAACATGATTGACGACTCAACCGACCCCATCCTCAGCACTATTAGACGGATCGGACTTTTCAACGGTCGCGCAGACAGGGTTAAGGTAAAACTCATTGCTTACACATACAGATACTGGAAACGTCCTTAGCTGTTTTTAATATCTGTTTGAAATGCTTTTAACTATTTATCAAGAAAATCAATTCTATTTCTTGAGTGATGTATAACAAATATCTTGACATCATTCTCTTTTCATGCTTTTGAGTTTTAGTTCTATTATTTACTATCATTATATAATATTGTCAATATAAAAAAGGAAAACATCCAATTTCTAATAATATAAACATAATTAATTCAGAATTAATTTAATGGTGAAATCTCTGATATTAACATAAACTGTGTTTGCTTTTTCTTGGCTGGTTCATCCCTAGCTGTTGTGTATGTTTGGGGAGTGAACAAGCAAATGGGGAATCTCTTTCTTTCAGTATACTTAAAAATAAAGTTCAATTTAAGGACAAGTCTCCGGTTTCAAACACTATCACTCACAAGGTATTGGTGTACTTCTGAACAAAGAGTCATTCTTTTGACTCTTGGGTTTCTGCAATGACTGGGTCCAAGGCTGCTGGTTGCTAAGGGTATTTACATGAATAAGACCTGGTCTCTCTCACAGTTTGGGGTGGGCATTTGGCTCCGTGGCTCCACTGCTGGTGGGGACACTTGCTGGGTTCAAGCCCCAGCTTCTGCGCCCTGCTCCACCCCAGGTAACCGCCTCCCCCCATCTACATGGGAGACCTGGACAGAGTTCACTTCCTGACTCTTGGTCGCAGCTTCAGCCAGGCCCAGCCACTGCACACTTTCGACAGTGGACAAGGGAATGAGAGTTCCTGGGTTGGCTCTCAGACAAAGAGACTCTCCATCTCTCTCTCTCCTCCATTTGCCTCTCTCTATCAAACTATAAGATAATTTTTAAAATAACCAAATTGTAGGGCATTTTTATGTTGTTACACTTTTTCCTCATTAGAATTTTCCTTTTTTCAAATTGTAGGTGATTTTACACCCAGAGTTTCTGTCTTCGACCAGCCCCTTGCTACCCATGGATTATGAAGAGTTTGTGCGAGGTTGTCATCTTGGAGTATTCCCATCTTACTATGAACCCTGGGGTTATACTCCAGGTAGGTGGCATAAATATTCCAGGTAGGTTATGGAATTTTAATTTTGTTAGCATATTATTTTATGTGCATATGTATAGAAGAATCAAATAATTGGTAAATAATTTCCACTGTTTTAATTTCTCAATTTGGTTTAAAGATAATTTTTAATTAGCTACGTCTCAGGGACCTACTTTGTGCTTTGTAGATCCTGAACTAAGAAAAAGATTTACCTAAGTATTTCATGGTGTAGTTGCACACTCATTGTTTAGTAAGTATCTGAGTTATTACCTTAAACCATCCCCCCCAAAATGAATGTTTGTGAAAATGGCATATTCTACAGATCAATTTATCTGAAAGGCAGGGGGATAGAGAGGGGCAGGAAAGATCTTCATTTGTTCACTCCACAAATGGTTGCCCCAACCAGGTCTGGGCCAGAACAAAGACACAGCCAGGAACTCCATCCTGGTCGCCCACATGGGTACTTGCTTCATCTTCCACTGTCTTCCCAGGGACATTAGCAGGAGGGACATTAGAAGGCCATGTTTGAAGTGGACCACTGGGGACTTGAACTGGTACTCTGATACAGGTTGCTAACAGCAGCTTAGCAAACTGAGTCAAAATGATGATACTAATTTTTTTTTTAAGATTTATTTTTTTTTTATTGGAAAGACAGGTTGACAGTGAGGAGAGACAGAGATAAAGAGTTTTCCATCAGCTGGTTCACTCCCCAAATGCAGCAATGGTTGGAGCTAAGCAAATCCAAAGTCAGGAGCTTCTTTGGGTCTCCCAAGCGGGTAGAGGGTCCCAAGGCTTTGGGCCATCCTCAACTGCTTTCCCAGGCCACAAGCGGGGAGCTGGATGGGAAGCAGGGCTGCCGGGATTAGAACCAGTGCCCATATGGGATCCCAGGCGTGCAAGGTGAGGACCTTAACCACTAGGCTATCGCGCCGGGCCCTTCACACTGTATTTTTAAAGCTACAGGTTCTCAGATCCACAATTTCTCTTTCTTTTCTGTTCTCTACTAGCATGACTGTTATGACCATCAAAGGAAGTAATTTCTACCAAAATATCAAAATCAGAGGGAAACACATACTTTAAGAATCAGTATTGCCATTTCCATCTCTTATTGGCAATCAAAGAGATTCTGTCTCACTTAGATACAATTCCATTACGTTTTAAGCAGAAGGTACAAAAAGTAAAAACTTGTAACAAAGGGAAAACATTTTTGCTTTCTGCTTCTCAATGTCATCAGGTAAGAGGCAACAAAGGCCAAGGTGCTAGTGCAAAATAGTAGGTTGAATTTGGGAGGAGAAACTTGATAAACACCTATGTTCTTATCCAAGATTTTGGATATAGAGCTTAAAAATCTATAAAGATAGGAGCCTATATTCTTTCCAATAGCAACAACAGGAGGGTTCTGAATCCCTAAGAAGATCCTAGTCTTTTATTCTAGAGTCTACTTCTTAAGCCATAATATAAAAACGTATTTATCCATCCATCCACCTTGCAGTTCTAGAACTTGCTAGTGGCATAAGTTCTACACTTGTGAAAGTATTATCTTCACATTTACGAAACATGCAACAAGTATTTCTGATTGTTTATGATTCAGTCTCTTGTGAGAATAGTAAAACTCACATTTTACTGCTGAGAGAAACGCTGTGTTATTGACCCTTATTTCTGCTATTTCTAGTAAATAATACAGTTTAGAGTTATAAGGATTACGGCGCAGAAAAAGTATGAGGGTATATGTGACCGATGGAACAAAGGAAGCACTGGGAAAAGATGACCTGCACGCTGACTTTGCATCAAAACAGCATTTTACAGAACAGTTAGATGGGGGTGATGCAGATACAGAAAATGTTCTACATAAGATGACAGAAGATGTAGAGAAGCTGGCACTCAGTGTAGTTGTTAAGCTACCACGTGGGACAGGCAGAAGCACGTAGGGTGAGTATAAACCCTGTTTGTGATGCCAGCTTCCTACCCGTCAGCGCCCTAGCAGGCAGCAAGTGGGAGACTCCTATTTAGTACTCAGCTCCTGGCTGTGGCCTCGCCCACTGCTGTCTGGCTTGGGTACTTGGGAAGTGAGACTGTAGAGAGAATATAGATCTTTCTCTTCTAGCTCTCTTTCTTCTCTTTCTCTTTTGGCTTTTCAGATAAAGTAAAATATGTAATAGCAGATAATTAGTAAATGTGTCATTTGATGTTTCAAATTAATCAAATGAAGGTGGTCACTCCTTCCCTAAACCATGGCTATAGAAAGAATGAGACTTCTGATGGTAGATATATTCAGTATTAGCATATTAAATAGCTCTCCACTTTAAAAAAATTTTCTTATGTGATGTAAGGTCTATCTCATTCTAGAAGGCCCTCTCTAAATTTGTTCTGAGTTTAGTAGAGAAAACTTCATGAACAGAAGCATAAACACTCATTTCATGAATTTCATGAATATACACTGAGCTTTCACGGGTATCTGGCATATATGCTGCATATTCATTATACATGAGTATTTAATAAAAAAATAAAGATCTCTCTCCATCTTTCCCCTTCCCTCTCTGGCGTGTGTGTGTGTGTAAGATTTTTTTTTTTCCTGGAAACAAGTCCCAGAATTTTCACAATATTCTCAACAATCGTTAATCCCCATCCCATATTCCTCCTCTCATGCCTCCAAAACAATTAAAGAAGCCCTGTTCTCAAGGCACAAAGCTAACACCATGTGGAAATACTTGCACATGAAAGGATAAAGCCAATGTCTAAACCGGATCACTTGAGGGAGCTATGGGAGATCCTGCCTACAAACTAGGAGTCATCCCATAATCAAACATGAATTCCTCATGAAAAAGGCAAACACCCTGAGAAGAGCAAATTTTTTTTTGTTAGAAAAGCAGACAGAGACACAGAGGTCTTCCATGCACTGGTTCTTGCCCCACACGCCTGTGACAGCTGGGATTAGGCCAGTGCAAAGTCAGGAGCCAGGAGCCCAATCTGGTTCTGCTGCATGGGTGACAGGAACCCGAGGACTCGAATCATCACTGGCTGTTTCTCAGGAGGCACATGAGCAGGAACTGGAAGTGGGAGCAGAGCTGCAACTGAACGTCAGGTGTTTCGATACGGGATGCAGGCATGCCAAGTGGTGTCTTACGCATCGCACAGCATGCTTGCCCTCAAGAACATCCAGATTCAAAATCAAATTTCAGATATCTCCTGGAAAATGGGTTTTAACCAAAAGATGCAGGACTGAATGATTACCAGTTCTCTGAACTCCCAAGAAAGTGGAAAGGATTTGTGCAACGGGGGAATTTATGAGGGGAGAAGCCATCATATTCAAAGTACTTGTTCCACAATCTTGCCGGGTGGTTAGATACGGGGCTAAAATTGGGACAAAAATTACAACAGCTTGGGTTTATACAGGCAGCATGTGGGGAGTTTGGAGCTGGGGCTCTGGCTTTGTGAGGTTGAACAAACTGTTTCATTTTACTGTGCTTCCATTTCTTTGCCACTGAGGCTGAGATCACAATAAGCTCGTTAGGGAGACACAACGAGTTAGGTGGTCCTACAGGTGACAAGCTTACTACAGGTGGCACAAGTCAACAATGCTCAAAGACCAGGGTATCGTTCATTGCATACACAAGAGGCTATAGCGTGGGTCTGAAGCCAAGTCTTTGTTTCCTTGGCAGCCGAATGCACCGTGATGGGCATCCCCAGTGTGACCACAAACCTCTCTGGCTTTGGCTGCTTCATGCAGGAGCACGTGGCTGACCCGACTGCTTACGGTGAGGCATGCCCCCTGACCAAGCAAGGCCCCTCTCTCAAAAGCTCTACCCCGCGAGTTAAATGCATACATATACTTGTTGTTTAATTAAAAGCAGATTTGATTATGTGATCTGAAGATAAGAATGCTTTTTGATATTTATTATGAAACGCAAAAGACAAGCTGCAATCAGAGTGAGAAACCTCAATGAATTTTGCTCATCACACGATTTCCTATTTTTTGATCTCTGCTTCTATAGAGTGGTATTTCATTAACAATCATGTGAGAAAACCTATCTTGGTCACTATGTATAAGAACACATCTGATTATCGTTTTAAAGGTCCATGCCAAATCAGCATAATTCGCTTCAACCATGACACAATTTACCTATCACCATCAATTTATCCATCTATGTCATGTATCTGCCATCTATCTGTCATCACCTATCCTGACTTGTCTATCACCTCTCCCTATCTTTCTATATTTTGTGTTGCCCAGTAGACAGGTTAGTTAGAATGGGATGAATTCTCTCCCTTCCCTTTGACAATTCCTTAGGGCTTTTACAAGGGAACAGGAGCTGTTCTCTTTCCTCAGATGAGAGCTGTGAATTTCAGCCCGGGCTACACAATAGGATTAAGGAGCCCACTGGTACCCAGCTCTCACCCTGGAAATTATGGAAATCGGTTGATCCCATACGCCTGTAGAATGCCAGAATTTTTCCCAATAAGATCCACTTTAGTGAACTGTGTGCCAGAAACAAGTGCAATTAGCAGAAGGAAAGAGATCAAGTGCAGGCGGGGGCTGGGTCAAGCCCTGGTTGATACAGTTGGCCTCTGACCCACAGACAGAACACTGAGTAGGAGGGCTATAAGGTTCATCCCACTCTGACTTGTGCTGTGGCTTTGTGATCTGCAGGTATTTACATCGTGGACAGGCGGTTCTGCTCTCCAGATGATTCGTGCAATCAGCTGACACAGTTTCTCTACAGATTTTGCAAACAGTCACGCCGCCAGAGAATTATCCAGAGGAACCGAACCGAGAGGCTTTCAGATCTTCTGGATTGGAGATATTTAGGCAGAGTAAGCAAGATTTTAATAAAACACAGAGGGGGCACTTTAAGAATTCCACTGGGTCAGGCTTTGGCCAAATGGTACCTGGGTCCCCTATGAGAGTGCCTGGGTTTGATACCTGGCTCTGGCTGCTGTTGATGCATGCCGTGGGAGACAGCAGTGATGGATGGCTCAGATGGTTAGGTTTCCACCCCCCAACTGTGAGATGCACATGGACTTCAAGACTCTTGGCTCTGGCCCCCAGCCACTGCAGGCATTTGAGTAGTGAATCAACAAACAAGAGTTTTCTAAGAAATAAACTTTAAATATTCCATTGTGAGTGAGGTTGATGTTGTTAAGGTGGCGAGTTAAGTCACAACCTGTAACATGAGCATTCCATGAGTGTTATTTTGAGACGTGGCTGCTCCACTTCTGGTCCAGCTCCCTACAAATGTGCCTGTGAAAGAAGTGGAATGTGGTCCAGGCACTCAGATTTAAATGAAGTTCTAGGTTCCTGCTTTTGGCCTAGCCAAACCCTGGCTACTGCAGCCATGTGGGGAGTAAATCAGTAATATGGGAACTCTAACTCTGGCAAGTACATAAAATACATGTTTGAAAAATTCCACTCGACAATGAAAGCCATAACCCGTAAATCCAGTGTAATGTCATGATTGCTAAAATCTCAATGATGGCTTCACATATTTTGTAAACTAATATGATTTTGTAAAGTCCTAACGCTGATTTGTCATGTTGAGTTTGAGTCTGTATAAACAAGGCCTTCAGGACATGGCTACTTTATCTACAATTGAGCTTAACATGTATGCAAGACCATTTCAGAAAGATGAGGAAAGGCATTAGGAGGAAAGTCCCCACTTCGTTTTCCTCCAGAAAAAGAAAATATGGTTATACCTCCACTACAACAGGAAGCAGTTGCTGCAAACATTTCACAGAAAATGAGAATTATAAAATACATTTGAGATTCATGCATAGCTGTTTTCACAACTTGCATTTTCTGTGAACTTTGTAAAGTCCTTTGCACTGTTTCCAAAAAAGATAAGTATAGGAAGTACGTCCATTCAATCATGTGATCAGTTTGCAAGCATTCAGATGTGCATCTGTCTCAGCACTGGATCACTGAATCATGAATACATTGACTCGGCCTTCCCATAGTGTATCTGCTTACATGTTGTTAACCCTCCATGCTGTCACTTGCTGGGCATCTGTACACACATGCACACATAAATGCGCGCACACACACACACACCAGTTCCCATTGCAGCCTGCGTGGTCCTCTCTCCACTTTCTAATGAAAACAGAGCAGTAAGGCTCTAATCCAGTGTGTCTCACCTGGGTCGAGGTGGGTTTCCAGGCTGTCTGTCTGCCGAGCTCTCTCCATGCACTGCTCCTTCTCTGTGGAAAGAAGCCAATGTTTCAGTCACCGCCATGCTCAGTTCAGGGCCAGGATCAATGTTTTCCCCAATGTTTTAATTACTTCTCAGCCTATGCATTGAAAAACAATAACACTGATGACTGTCATTTATTTCCTGTCTCTTGCTTTTCTTAGGATGAAAAGATTCTGCCCTTTTAAAAGCATGCATTTCAGGGGCAGCCATTTCACACATTGGTGAAGAGGCTTCTTGGCATGCCAGCATCTCATAGGGGAGTACCTGGATTTGGGTTCAGGCTGTGCTTCCTATTCAAGTTGCTGGGTCCCTGTCAACCCTGGAAAAACCTGAGTTGAGTTTCAGGCATCTGGCTTTAGCCTGGCCTATTGGCTGTTGTGAGCATCTGGGAGACAGAACCTGCAGATGGAAAGTCTTTATCCATCTCCGATTCTCTCTCAAATAAAATGAAAACAAGTAAATAACAGCTTAAATAAAAATCCATCCAGTTCAGAACCAGAATAATAAAGCCTTACAACATTGGTAACTGAGATATCTAAACCTTCTTTTGTTTAACCTGTAAATTGGCTTTCTTTCAATAGTATTACCAGCATGCCAGGCACCTGACATTAAGCAGAGCTTTTCCAGAAATTTTCCACATGGAACCCATATCACCACCAGCAGTGAGTATTTAATGCATTCTCCATTGTTTTAAAAGCTAAATGTATGACAAATTCTAAATATACTTTTTAACGTGGAAGTGGCTAAATCGCAGGCTCCTACACTTTTTCATAGTGTGGAATCAGAGCAAAACATAATGGAAATCACAAATATGAGTATCTGAAAGCTCTGAATTCAGATTTTGCCTTGTGTGCAGGAAGAGTAGATAACTCACTCATGTCCTTGGTGATGTTCCTCCATAACAAAATTTAATAATCAAATGTAACGCCTGAACTGCCTGTTAGACCACCATTGTTTTTAAAGTTATTAAAAAAAACTGGGCTGCTCTAACAGGAGAGATATTCATTGTCCAGGAAATGTTTAAATATAGGCAACATTGAAACAAGAGCAGATTCCAACACTTGAAGATGCTCTAGCCCAGGTGAGCACTTAACGCACTATTCGGCAGTGCCTGTCAGAGACTTTCTTGTAAAGTCTGACTAGATGTTTGTGTTTGTGAGATCACCATAGCCACATCTGTCAACAGACAGGAATCGCAGCTCAAGTGCCACAGCTTCAGGTACTTCTCAGTGAGACGGCCTGCAGTCCAAGGCCTAACTTGTTTGGCCTCCTGTCCACTAGGTGGCAACTTAGGCACAAGAAAGACAAACAAATCGTTGGGAGCCACCCTAGGTCAGCTTAGGACGCTGATTTGAGCTTTCAATGTGCACTCCTGCATATTTAAATATGCTCCCACCAAAGCCAGTGTCTTACAAATCTGGATAAACAAGCATCCATGGTCCTTGTAAGCAATGTATACCCAAATAGGAGTCATTTTTCAAAAAGCTATGGTTCCCTGTCAAAGATTTATAGGGCCCTCAAGTTGAGATACAATTCTCAAAACAAATTATGTCTACCATAAATAACTTTTCCAAATACTCTAATTTATATTCAATCTAGATTAGGCTTCTGGAATAAAATAGCTTAGAAGTTAATTAATCCAACATGAATTTTGTTCATAGAAAATAGTAAAAGGATTTTTTAAGATTGATTTCTTTTGGGGTGGGCTGGCACAATAGCCTAGTGGCTGAAGTCCTCTTCTTGCATGCACTAGGATCCCATATGGGCACTGGTTCATGTCCCAGCTGCTCTACTTCCCATTAAGCTCCCTGCTTGTAGCCTGGGAAAGCAGTCAAGGAAGGCCCAAAGCCTTGGGACCCTGCACCCACATGGGAGACCTAGAAGAAACTCCTGGCTCCTAGCTTTGGATCAGTTCAGCTCACTATGGCACTTGGGGAGTGAACCAGGGAATAGAACTTATTCCTGGAAGGTGGGATCCCAGTTTTAAAGCCACTTCTTTGGTGAAGTGTGGTGTGTGAGTCAGCTGGTGTTTATCAAATGACCACCTCAGCAACTCTTAGGCAGAGGCACAATTTGATCAAAGCCGCGTGATATTTGCTCATCAACCACCAAGACAGAGGCTAGGAGAGGAATTTCAGGGTCAAGTGCATGTCCTGGCTCCCAGGATGCCTGCCGGGAGTGCCTGTCCACAGCATGTCCAGGATGCACAAGTCCCGCAGCTTTGCTAAGCAAATTGAAGGCAGACACAGAGACCATCAGTAGTGTGATACAGAAGTTGAAATTAAAGCTCTGAAACAATCACAAACCGTGGCTCTACCACATATGACCCTGACAAGCAATCCATGACCCTGAACAAGGGCCATTGGGTCTAAGCCTCAATTTTCTTGGATAAATGGGAAGGACAAATGTATTAGCATGCTAGATCATTAGATGAGGCAAAGTGATTCCAGCACTTGGCGAGTGCAGTGTTTAATAAAGGATGGCTGCATTTGTAATATATCTCTGTTGAATTTGGTGGTACCAGAATCAAAATGAATTCAAGTTTAACAGCACCTGATCAGACCACAGGAGATTCTCTCACAATTTCTTTATTAAATGCGCATACGTAGTGTGACACTGCTCATCCCACTTTGTGTGTTATTTTTATCTTTGGCAGACTGAGGGATTTAAATACCCCAGGCCTTCCTCAGTGCCCCCTTCTCCTCTGGGGTCTCAGGCCTCCAGTCCTCAGAGCAGTGACGTGGAAGACGAGGATGAGGATGAGAGATACAACGAAGAGGAGGAGGCCGAAAGGGACCGGTTAAACATCAAGTCGCCACTTTCTCTGAGCCACGTTCCTCATGGGAAGAAAAAGCTGCACGGTGAATACAAGAACTGAACTCCACAGCTGTTCAGCAGAGGCTAATTTAGCCAGAACAAAGGAAGAATGGGTCCTCAAGAGAGCCAAAATGCCAGAAATTTTATTTTCTTCTATGTGTTACAAAGGAGTTTGTTCTCTGCTTAAGAAGTAGAGGAGATTCAGTGAAACCAAATTATCATTCCATCCCCTATTTTCTGGACATGAAAATTTGGACATGAGCAGGGCTGTTAAAGTAGCACCATGGTTAATTTAAGCAGATTTTTTTTTCTCTACTGGTTTTATCTTAAAAATTTTCAGCATCGTGGCTCTTTGCCTAGGATTTAGTTTTTATAACCTACCAAAGAAGTCTCTATTCTCCCCCAGGAATCCTGATCTTGGCTTTGAATGTACATTACTTACCTACTTTAAGTAATTAAATCTCTGCTGACCACATTTGCACATGACCAAAGTTATGAGTTTTCATTTTGCATTGTAGAGAATCAAAATCCACAAGAAAATACCTATTCTCAATCAAGATCTTGAAGTCTGTGACTCATTTATCACATCACTCCTAAAATCTAGAATTCATGTTCAAATAATGACAGAAAAGTGTTATCTAAACTGTTCCAGCTTACTGCCGTGATTTTTCTATTATTTAAATGGAAAACTCTTGTGAAAATTTGATCATTCTTCCACAGATGATAATTTGTTAGATCCACGTAAATGAATACTACAGCGATATTTAAAGGTTAAGCTTTCATTGATAGTGTTTATAAAAACTGTTTGACATTAAAATGTATAAAAAAAAATGACAGTGTAGAGTGTCTAATAAAAGACAACACCAAAAATTAGCAAAAGGAAAAAAATCTACTTAACTGTAATGTTGTAACACATTCTGTGATGTGCTTAGAGTTATAGTTGAATGGTGATTATAATTAGCTACGTTTATAGTTTAAATGTAATTAAATGTAAATGGCAAAAAAAAAAATGGGCATTTGACGCAGCAGTTCAGCAGCTTTGGACACACACATTCATTTCAGAGTATTGAGGTGTGAGTCCCAGCTGCGTTCTCCCTGCTAGATTCTTGCTATCACACCTTGGAGGCAGCAGGTGTTGCTTCAAGGGCTTGGGCTTCTGTCACCCATATGGGGACCTGGACTGTGCTTCTAGTTCCTGATTTCAGCCTGACCCAGTCCCAGAGCATTCAGGGATTACATAAGTGGCTCAGATCTCTCTCTCTCTCTCTCTCTCTCTCTCTCTCTCTTTCTTTCTCTCTCACTCTCCCCTCCCACCATGTCCCTCTTTCTCCCTCTCCCCAATCTCCCCCCCCTGTCTCTCTGCCTTTCAAATAAAAAATAAAAGCAAAATTCACATCCACCCTTGGATTGCTTTCGTCACAATTGAGTAGTATTCCACCATCACAGTGATAATCCTGACTGGCATATCAGATGACCTTGATCTATAGAGACTCTAAAAAAGATTCAATCATCTGAATGGTTGGTAGTAACAGAGAAGTAAAGCAGCAACGTGTCAGATTGTTCAAGACTGCAACCCTGCCCTCCTACCGCCTCCTGAGCTACAAAGAAGCTGAAGAATGTTGGAGACAAGCCACAAATTAGGCCACAATGCAAGAGGGTTGCAAGTTTACCTTATTTAAGACTATTCTTTGAAGACCAATTAAAGTATCATGTATAGAACAGTTTGAAAAATTACACTGTAAAGCAAAAAAACAACAAAAAAGGAAATATAAGATGGATTTATCCAAGGGATTTTCAAAAAGTTCATGGTACAGGAAAAACTATGCATGTGTTTAAAAATAGTTTTGCACTAAAATAAACTTTCATTTTTCATGAATTTTTGAATTGTCTTCATGGACATCTGTTGAAACTGCACGAGGGGCTTACAATAAAAGAAAGGCTCATTGTGAAAGGACAATGTGCCCTCAGATGCCCTCATCTGTGTGTTTAAGTGATACTCTTACCGATTGATAACTGGTTGGTCGACAGTTTTACAGTAAAACATACTAAATATTTTTATCATACAGTACAATACTTCACTACACAACTTCAACATTTAAGTTATTTTTTGTCCAAAGAATAGTTCTAGGATTAGAAATGTACACAAAGAGTGCACACGGGAATTAACGGACTTGCAAACTCCTGCTACAGAGCGGCAGGTGCAGGAACTCAACTTTCTAGCTTCTCTCAAGGCACTGTACAGACAGCTGCTGCCACTTGACTCCTTCCCTTTTCTCCAGCGATTTTGTTGATCTTTCCCAAAGATGGGTGAGGAATGAATGGGCTTTTCAGTAGATGAGACTGTGCAGCACAGTATCTTGTACAGAGTTGTTACGCAACAAATGGTCTTTTGGGAGAATAGAGATACAAAGTAACTGATGCTGTCAGAGAATACATGATTCATGAACTGGAGGACAGAAACCATAAAGAATGGTGTGTAACAGCTGGCTAACAGCAAGACTCGTTTCTCAGGGATTTTAACACCTGCTATGGTCTGAATGTCTGTGTCCTCTCTCTTCCAAGTCTTAATCCTCAGCGTGTTTGTAGGAGGTGGACTCTCTGGGAAGTCATGGGACCTGGAGACCACTTTCAAAAAAGCAGTCCAGCGAGCTGCCTCCTTTCCTTCTAGCAGGTGCTAAGGACTCCTCTGAGAGAAAGCAGGCCCTCCTTGGACAGTGGTGCTGTCAGCATCTGATCTCAGACATCCTCGCCTCTAGAGCTGTGTGTTCTATGAGCCACCAGCCTGTGGTACTCTCACTTGGCACTTCAGATGGAGAGCATCCTCCCTTCCACAATCAGAGGAAGGGCAAAGAGAGCTGGCTCTATATATACATCGGAAGATGTACAAGGTTCCAAGAGGTACAGCAATAGTGTTCCAGGGTAGAGGAGTCAGAAGAGGAGCTGGTCAAATCTACTTAAGGAAGTCCCAGAGGCTACATGGGATGAGCCCCGTTTCTGTCAATAGCAGGTATGATGAAGAGTGTCCTGTTACACTTCACATGGGGTTGTGAGTGTCACATCCACTTCCCTTTCTCCTGATGTCCAGATAAAATTATGTAACTCAGGACTGGTGAGACACTTGACATATCATAACCAACTCATGAGTCTGATTCCTGTTATTTTAACGGAGACAATCAGGAGCAGCCACTTAGGAAGGGAGGGTTTATTTGGCTGTTTACTGTGAAGGTTCATGGCCCATGATTAGGAGATGTCATTCATCTAGCAGCTGGTGAAGGCTGGCTGTGGCAAAGTGTGTGCAAAGGAATGAGCGGACAGTTAGTTAGGAAGCTGAGGGAGACAGGACACACGCTCCTCTTCTTTATCATCCCTCTCTCCAGCACCACCTGCCAGGGCAAGCCCCGATGACCTGAAGATTGCCAACTAGGCCTGCATCCTCAATTACATCAAATCCATATCCTTAATCCATTACTCAGTGATAGAAAACTCTGAGATTTACATGCCTGTATCGCTTTGGGGGACCAAGTTCTGCTTAAACCCACACAATCCGTTAAAGAAGAAATATGAGAGCTGGAGGTTGATTTAAACAAGCCAGGGATTCTTTACCCGCTTTCCCCACTTTTGGTGTGGGAGGAAGGGAGGCACTTAGGGGAAAACCTAAAGGACCACAGAGGACTAGGGAGCCTGTTTCAAAGAACAGAGAGCCACCAGAGAGGACGGGTGCCAGGGAGAAAAGGGGAGGGCAAGGGATCTGTGCTGAAAATCTTACTGCAGGTCAGAGTATTCAAGGATATACACATGTGTCGAAGGAGCAGGTTTCCTAATTTTTTTAAATTTTTAAATAAAAAATACACAATGGCAGAGATAAATCTTCCAGCCACTGGTTTTCTCCCCTAATGCTCATTACAGCCAGGCATGAGTCAGGCAAGAGCCAGCAGAACAGTCTGCATTTCCTGCATGGGTGTTGCACGGGGGTTAACAACCCAAGTAACCCGTGCCTTCTGCCTTCTTCCAAAGTACAGGTTAGTGCGAAGCTCGACTGGCAGCAGAACCAGCGCTCGAAACTGGCTCTCTGATACGCGAGATGGGTATCCAAAGTGACGTCTTACTTGTGTGCCAAACACTCCTCCAGAAAATTTCCAATTTTAAACAAACCATACAATGTGAGTTTTCTGATCTATGGTAATTCATCCATCTCTGTTTCAAAAATGGTCGAAAATGAGGCAGGCACTTGGCTTACTAAGACACCTGTGTTCCTTGTGGGAGTGCCAGGTTTCACCTCTGCTCCCAGCTTCTGACTCCACATGCCCACTCATACAGACCCTGGGAGGCCGCAGTGATGCCTAAGTGATTGGACACCTGTCACCAGGGAGACCTGCCTGCTCTTGGGCTCAGCTCCCAAGGGGACAATTTCAGACATTTGGAGATGTTCTCTGCCTGGGAAATGAGTAAAATAATTTTCCAAAAAGAAAGGAAGACCATGGCAAAAACACACTAAGAAGAGTTGGAACGTTACAGCAAGCTGAGAGGGGCCTTTGAAATTAATCAGCCAATTTGTACTAGGAAACACACATCAAATTCAAACAGAACTTAATAATACTTGTGGCTATGTTTAAATAGCTATTGGTCATCTAGACAGCTTTCAAAAATTCTGTCTTGGTATTTAGTTGCACAGACTTATTTCATAAGCCAGATATTAAAAACGTTCTTGGAAAAGAAATTACTTTAACAGCCAATATGTACAAAGTTATGTCTGATTAGCAAATACTTCATGATGAATGAGACATATGCACTGACTCATAAATCCACTTATATATCAAGTCATAATTAATAAATAAGATAATGTCACAGGTTGTTTCAATGCTTGCTTACTGGTAAGTATCAATGCTACATTAACTTCAATATAGTTTCATTATCCAATTGTGAAATAAGATATAGACAAGCCTTAGATGCTGGATTTTAATTAACTAACACATTGAAATTTCAGATATAGGTTACAGAGACATTCACATAAGATATTTAGTTACTAAATATAACTACACATTGATGACAATAGGAATCAACAATACTTCTACTTAAGCTATTATCAGTAACAACACTCAGTTTAAAAAATTAAGAAGGTGGTCATCTTGCAATTCCAAATCAATAAACTATCTTGCTTGCTGCAGGGGTGCACATGTGTACTCAGATTTTATAGAACCAACCTGACTTGGAAAATAAGTCCATCAGGCATGTTACCCTGCACTTAGGCACTCGAGTGCCTCTATGTAATGCCATGATGACTAACTAGACTTCTAGGCAATTACGGTCAGCAGGTACTGCAGTCTGCAGGATATTTAGCCACTGCAAACTAGCCACCTCAAAAACTGCTTTGTTTGCTTTGTACAATAAACATGCTGGCAGAGTGTGTCTCCACCTGCTTTGTTCTCAGCCATTTTCAGGCACATGTTTCTAAACAGAACTCAAGGAGACACCAAGCGCACAGGGCGAGCTCTCCATCTCCAGCAAACCTTCTGGGAGCACTTCTCCCTGAACACACTCACCCGGTGCTCTTATCTCAGAGCAGCTCCCCGGAGTCACTCCCTTCCACTTCCCGTCAGAACGACTGATCCTGAAGCAATACAGAATCTCATTCTCCTCTCTCTGCCTGCTCTCCCTCCCTGCCTGCCCACCCTTTGTGGGAAACAGAAGGGCTGCTGAGTGACAGCAAAATCCAAGACAGAACAGAAGGGAAAATCAACAAGAATCACCATAGGCACTGCTGTGCCAAAGGGAAAAACACTGGAGTGTCTTCAGCCATGTATGTGCCAGGGCTCTAAAACACTCCTGGGTGACACACAGGCTGACCTAGCCCGGACGGGAAGCAATGGAAAAAGGCAATGCCGCTCTGGGGGTAAAAAGTCTGCATTTCTTTGGCTTCTGAAGGAATACACCTCACTGTACAAATTGCTAAAATTACAAATGGAATGAAAAATACAAGGGTTTGTGGGTCATGCCTTCCACCAGCACAGACCTAAAACTGAATGTAAAACAGCACATTTTCACCAGTTTAGTATACGGTCTTCCAGGAATCTGGTCTGATCAAAGTCTTCTTTTCCATCTGGAAAGAAAAAAAAATTAATAAATCTCCTTCTTAAAATGAATACAGACAAATACAAAAAGACCTCAGGAAACAAACACAAAACCCTCACATTTCACATCCATAATGAAAAAAATAACAACATGTATGTTTTGTAAAAATATGAAAGGGCCAGGTGTGTTTCTCTGATGAATATGCCTCAAGTTTAAAATCGCAACCAGTATTCACTTGCATCAAAGGTCGTATTTCCTGTTAAAATGCATCTGACTTGGTAAACATGACCTGGAAATACCTTTGCAAATACTCCTTCATTAGTAAGCCAGCATTGTGAGAAGTAAGGAAGACCAAAAATCAGGGATCTTTGTTAGCTGGACAGATTGGAAAACTTTCCATCTGTAGCTGCAAGTAGCTGAGGACTTGGATAGCAGCAGGTTGCTGGGACTCTAAATTTGGCAGGAAAGCTCACATCGCTACAATGGCTGGAAAGGAATGAGTATTCAATGACCCTACACATGGGTACCCCACCGCTTTATTATTTAATGGATAATGACAGGCTCAGAATTACCCAGATCACAGACTGTAAACCTAAGTCTGCTAGGCTGTTGCTATCCCTGAATGCGGGGCACATTTTAGATTTTGCAGCGTTTTAGGTATTAGATTTTTAGGTCAGGGAAGCTCAACTCTAAAGCCTATGCAAATATTCCCAAATTCAAAGAGCTTGAAATCTGAAATACTTCTAGCCTCAAGCATTTTAGGCAAAGGATATTTAATGGATACTAGCTGCAATACTGCAGGGACAGAATGTAACTCTTAAATAGAGAATTACATTAAACCCTGATACAGAACATACCATGTCACATAATGGTGGTTACACATAAACAGCAGAATCATGTTAGAACTAGAACTGGTGCAGACCATAGCTACTGGAATGATCCATAGGAAACAGTTGTTCGTCCCTAAAAATGTGGTTAATTTCCAGCAGTTTGGTCTGGCTTAACTGGTGAGTCGTTGCATGTGTGATTTTTAAAATTTTTCTTGGCTTCAGTTTCTCCAACTATTCAAAGAACGAAGTTGGGTTATAAATTCTTTCAATGCTAAGAGTTGGAAGAAAAAGGTTATGCTAGGATGTGGATCCTGAAGTTCATACGGAGCTCCCTGGTCTTACCCAGGACAGGTTTTCACATTCTTGGGGCTCATGCTACTGAAAAACACACTGATCTTTAAGGCATAAGCACCTCTGTACATTTCAGGAGAGGGAACCACCCACAACACAGAATCCCGGAGCGTAGGGAAAGCTGTTTTATCCTGCAGCCATACCTCGCTGCGGGTTTTGTAAGGATGCCAGGAAGACGGCCTCTGCCTCGGGAGGAGTCAGGAGCTGGGCCTTTGGGCTCCGTCTTTCTGGAGGGGGAAAAACAATACAATTGGTATCAGCATTCAGATATTCACACAGAGCCTACCCCATGGTATCCTGCTAGACAAATCTCTAGGAACTCGTTTAGCCCTAAGCACAGAACTCCTTCCACGGAGGACGTAGACACGGAACCTTCACCCTTCCCTTGGCAATGGTTTACAATCAGTGTTTACATACGGGATATGGGAGAGAATCTTAAGGAGAATTTCCTGAAAGCAAGGGTTTAAGGGAACGGGCCCATTTAGGAGTTTCCCGTTCCTTGCTTAAAACAGGATGTCTGGGCAGGCAGGATTGGATGTGGTCCTGCCCAATCTCTACTTTCTCCCCTTTCGTTCCTTTCAACACAGTTTGAATTAAGAACCCGCATTCTTGGCCACAGGCCAAGTAACTACTGGACGCAAGTCATGTCTGTTAAATCTTCAAAAGTTACGTCTAAGTCGCCCTCAGACAAACCACTCCCATGCAAGAGCAACCATGGTTTTTAACTTGTGGGCAACGGAGCGGAAAAACACACATTGCGCTCTCATAAAATAAATAAGCTTAATCACACTGCAAACCTGGACCAACACTTGCAAAGTTCTTACTGAATTATCCACAGTGTTTCAAAACAGTGTTTTCTTTTTAGCGTTCAAATTTTTTAAAACTGCATTAAAGGGGGAAAAAAAATCCAGTGGTACGGAACAAGTGTATCATAAAAATATTCTGTACCTGGCCCCATTCTTAATGGTCCCAGTTACGGACCCGCTGGCTCTCGCTCCTTCAAAGGAGGCACAACATTCAAGTTCCCGGGGTAAGCCGCTATGTTAATAACGACGGCAATAATAATCATCATAACACGAAGAATACCGAGGAAAAGGTCTGTCCCACAGGCGCGCGACGTTTCTGGAAGCACCGCGCGGCTCTCGCCGAATGTTCGCTCAGAGCCGGGGACGCGCGGAGGCAGGAAGAGCGGTATGCGCAGGCGCGGCACGCCGCCCGCCCGAGCCGCTCGTGGCGCGCGGCTGGATGTGCCCTGCGACCCGGCGGCCGACCCGCCCCGGGCTGACTGCGTGAGGAGGGATCCAAAAGTTGTGGAAAATGGAATGAAAAGATAAACCTATAGGGTACGTCTGGTAATTGCATTTCCAGTACCCTCCGCGGAAAAGACGGGTTCTCTTCACGCCAGGGCGGAGCGTGTCCAGCTAGCTCACCGCACCTGCTTGTCCCGGGTCACTCACCTGGAGGCAGCCGTTCCGAGAGGTCCTTCCTCCGGCTCTGGTCGGAGAGGAAACGACGCCCCTCTGCAAAGGGCGAGAAGCGGCGCACTCAGCGCGGCCGCCTTTAGGGGTGCTTTGGGGCAGCTGGGCGCCGGCACCTGCCAAGGCAGCCAGGGTGTGCAGATGCGCCTGCAGGGAGCAGCCCGGGGATTCCGAGTGGGAATCCTGCCACCACCCGCCACCGCCTACCGTCCCCCCCTTTTTTTGACTGAAAGACCTGGGCAGTCTTAGTGCTTTACGGGAGCAGGGTCGCTCCTCGGATCTCTGTCGGTTTAAGGGACTCATGCACATTCTAGGAGTCTTCCTGTTATGGCTATGGAAAAAGCGAAGACTTACGTGCCCCCTTAAGGTAGAGCATGGCTTGGGGAGTCCAATTCCTCTTCTCCAACAGTCTCTAGGGTCGAAGAGAGAAAAAGAAGAGCAGTGAGCAAAACATTGCTGCCCGTTGTCCTGCATTAGGGAAGATGCTGAATTAGATTGTCATTGATGAACTGTGTGGTGGAGGTTAGAATACCGGGAACTGGGGATACCTTGCAGAATGCATTTCCCGTGCCAGTGAAGCAGTTAAATACACATCAACCGTTTGTTTGCTAGATTTTCTGCCTCTGTCTGCAATGCCCTGGTGCACGTGGCTAGCAGAATGTTGAACTTGTTAACTGTTGCTGGAAGACTACACTGCTGTAATAATATGGGGCGGGGGGGGGGGGGGGGGGGGGAAGGAAGAGCGAATCCCTGAATCTACAGAACTGTGTCATGGAAAATAATTAAAAAAAAAATTTTTTTTAGAAGAAGTTGAAAGAGAAAGGGGTCAGGAGGAGGGCCTTGTTTGCTTCAGCTTACCTGCGGAACGCTGCTGGAGTTCCCCGGGAAAGAACACACCAGGAAAACCGCCAGGGTCATGGCCGCCAGACTTCCGAGTCCCTACACCGAACAATCAAGCAGGCAGGGTCACTGCCCTGCAGACAGGATCTCAGGCTTGCTTCCTGGTCCCTGCGCGATCACAGCTCACCTCTCCCTGCATTCTGCTTCCAATCTTCAATATGCGGCCGTGTTCCATCCAGAAAGGTCCGTTTAAAAACATGGTTTCAAAATCTATGACTAGTAGCCCAACCAAATGAAACATTGGGTACCTGGATTTTTTTTTTTTTTAATAAGGGCAAATCAGTTTTGTTCTTCAAGCAGATGTGGGATGCTTGCTTGAAGGTTTAAGATTATCAAGTTTTTTTTGTTTTTTTTTTTTTTACTATATAGCTTTAAAAGTCTAAAGTGATTAAAACCTTTACATACCTTCATGTTCTGCCCCCTTGCCGGAGGCTGCAGCTCCTCTGACGCTGTCCGCGACTTTGTAGCTCTCCTTTACAAGTCGGAGCTTTTAACATCCTAATGTGCAGGTCCCCTCTGCATCAGCAGCGGAAGCGTAGTCCACAGGGATGTCCTGTCCGTCTTCAGAATGGCGAGGACCGGCTGACGTCTCCGGGGAGATCTCAGTTGCAGGAAGTGGAGGAATGACTGTTGAGTGGGCAGCACATGTTAGATGTGATCACATCAACGGCCGACATTTGAATGCCTTGGCATCACTGCCTTTGCCCTCTCCCGGACGAGCTGCTTCAAGAATTTTATTATCGTTACTAAACGATCGATAGTCCGACGCAGAACCGAAGCTAAATGAAGTATGGAATTTTGTCTTGGGGAACGCTCAAGCTGTCACTGATGGCTAATGGTGATTCACTTGGGTAGAAATGAAAAGGTTAAGGAATTTCCATAGAGATTGACATCTGTCATTCACCTAATTGTCCACTATTCCATTATTTAACAAATACTTGTTGAACACCTATTACATGTCAATTCTGTTTTTGGTTCAAGTGAGTCAAGTAACTTGTAACAAGTAACTCAGAGTCTCTGCCTTGGTCAAGATCATTTTATAGTAAGGGGAGAAACAATGTAAAAGGACAAGCAAGTCTTGATTTTTGTTTGTTTTGAAAAGGCAGTTAGATACAGTTTTTAATTAAAAAGTGACAATAAGCATGATGATCTGATAAGGTATATGGTAGGTTAGTTTAGGGGAGACTAAAGATAAGGTGGAGTCAGGCTCAGGTGGAAAGTCATGTTTCGGAGATTTTCTGCAGAATAAAAGTAACCAAAGGCTCGCTACAACAAAGAAGTTGGCTTTCTTGAGGAATTGCAAGGAGGCCAAGTCGTGCCACAGACAAGGGGGAGCTTGGAGAGGAAGAAATGCTTGGTTCCTAGGGCACTACCAGTTAAAGAAGGTGATGGCTTAGAGGAGGATGTATCACCATGAGGTGGAGAGCTGTGAGTGAAGGTGGCACGTGTGTTGGAGTAGAAAATGTGGGACTTGTGGATAAATATGAGACTAAGAAAATTAAACATCTTGCTTAGTGTTTTGGCTTAAATGCTGAAAACCTGATTTACTAAATTTGCTAAAATTGAGAAGATTTTGTGCTCAGTTAATGGAGGAAAATGAGTTGCTTGACGAGAAAACTTGAGATCCACATAGAAGTTTCCGATAGTGATGGCCTTCTGGAAGACTGTCACCTCCCCAAAGCTCTACTGCTTGGTGCCATCGTAGGGACACTTGGGGTTTCATGACTTCTAAATTAGCATAGTGCCTCAGGAATCACCCGGGAATCTTGTTGAAATGTAGATTCTGAAATAGGACAGCTGGAGTAGGGCCTGAGATCCTGCGCTTGTGATAAACGCCCTGGTGATGCTCTCCAAGGTCTTGCCCCGTGGACATGTCGAAAAGCAAAGTTGTCTGGGATCCAAGCAGTGATGAAAACTGAACTTCAGAGACTGTGTGCCTGGGAGGATAGAGTTTGGGAAAAGGAATAGGTAAGTTTTCTTTTATTGGCTGATGTTGTCTACCTGTAAATATTTGGAGAAGAGATTGGAGTTACGTGCTTGATACTTAGACTTGAGAGCTCTGTGTAGACATGAAAACTGCGCATTGGCTGGTAAACAAGTGAGTATAGAGTATAGAGGGTGGTTTGTTGGTCAAAGTTTATTTCTCTCTTTCAAAGAATATGAAAAACAAATCCAGCCAGACATTAATGTGCCGTATTTCTACTGCTTTAGAAGAAAGAAGACCAAGGAGAAAAAGCTTAGCAACAAAACTGGGTGGCTTTTTAATATCACTGTAAATATTAGATTTTATGCTTTTAACTTTAAAGGACTGCGTTAACTGCCTTCCTACAGGAAAAGTAGAAGAAATATGCTGTGTTGTTTTAAATGAAGTAATAAGTGAAACCCAATTACTGAGCTGCTTAGACAAGTAAAATGCCCTTCCCCTCTCTCTGTAAACCCAAAAAAGATAAAGATTTTAGGAAGAGGGATAGGAGGATGAATCACCAAAAAAAAAAAAAAAAAAAAGGTGTTTTGAATTTACAATTTGATGGAAGAGTGTCTTGTTGATGGTGTTTGAGTTAATGAATGCAAACAGATGTTTGACGTCAAAACTGCCATTTTCAGTTTAATCTGCACAAATGATGAGAATGGCTTTGACATGTTATCAATACTGTAAGTCTTATCAAGAGTAACATGCCAGAAAATGTTTCTCCTAAAAGGATTTCCAAAGGGCACTGGTCCTCAATACATTGTTCTTGTGAAATCACAAAACTTTTAAGATATTTCATAGTTTTAAATCAAGAGCTGGACTAATATTTTTGTTTAAAAAAATTCTAGGTAAAACCTTATTCTGTTGAGAGTATAGCAGGCAGCAAATGTACAACAAACTGATTGAGAAGCTTTTTTTTTTTTTTAAGTCAAAATGTTTATTTGAAGAGGAAGAGAGCAATGGAGAGAGAGGTTGAAAGGTAGTTACAGAGAGACTAGAGGAGGAAACAGGAGAGAGAGCGATCTTCATATCCAAATGGGTGCAATGGCTGGGGATGGGTCAAGATGAAACTCCACCCATGTCTCCCTCGTGGAAAGTCTCCCCTGCTTTCTCAGGCCCATCAGCAGGGAGCTGCAGCGGAAGTGAGCTGCTGGGACTCCAGCTCGCATTCATATGGGATGTTGGACTTGCAGATGACACCTTAACATACTGTGACACAACACTGGCCAAATCCTAAGCCTGGAACTCAATCCAGAACTCCCACATGGGTTGCAGAGACCCAAGGTATGCATGAGCAGGATGCTGGGATTGATTGGTGGGACTCAATCCAATATCCTGTGATATAGGATGCCGCGGTTCCAAGTGGCAGATTAACCCTCTGTGCCACAATGGCTGCTTTCCTTCCCTTCCATCACTTTTTTTTTTAAATTTTATTTTTATTGCAAAGTCAGATATACAGAGATGAGGAGAAACAGAGAGGAAGATCTTGCGTTCACTGATTCACTCCCTAAGTGGCCACAACAGCCGGTGCTGAGCCAATCCGAAATCAGGAGCCAGGAGTCAGGAGATTCTTTCCGGGTCTTCCACATAGGTGCAGGGTCCCAAGGCTTTGGGCCATCCTCGACTGCTTTCCCAGACCACAGGCAGGAAGCTAGATGAGAGGTGGGGCTGCTGGGATTAGAACCAGTGCCCATATGGGATGGTAGTGCGTGCAAGACAAGGACTTTAGCCACTAGGCTACCGGGACAGACCCATGCTCCCATCACTTTTCTTATTTATTTATTTATTTAAAGATTTATCTGTTTTTATTACAAAGTCAGATATCCAGAGAGGAGGAGAGATAGAGAGGAAGATCTTCCGTCCGATGTTTTACTCCCCCAGTGAGTACAATGGCCAGTGCTGTGCTGATCCAAAGCCAGGAGCCAGGAACTTCCTCCAGGTCTTCCACACGGGTGTACGGTCCAAAGGCCTTAGGTCATTCTCAACTGCTTTCTCAGGCCACAAGCAGGGAGCTGGATGGTAAGTGGAGCTGCTGGGATTAGAACCAGTGACGATATGGGATCCCGGGGTGCTCAAGGCAAGGACTTTAGCAGCTAGGCTACTGCACCGGGCCCCTCTCATTACTTTTCAATACAAGAGCAAGGGCTTGAGTTGAGGTAGTATGAATGAGGACATGGGTTTGGGCTTTGTTGGTTTTATTTTCTGCCTGCAATAGTGTGCCCTTTTCCTGGTTATCTCACAAACAGGTGGCAGAAGCAACCTTCCTTGGAGAGCTACTGGTTTTAGTTTCGGCAGAAGTTTTAGGGGCATTTAGAAGGCCTGCTATCCAAAGTTAAACTCCCCATTCATCAGCTAGTGCCTTTTACCCAGTCTTTCATTAGAGCTTTGATTTCTGATGGACTCACCTCCTGGGATAGATAATCTGATTCTTTTGTTTACAAACTGTTGGGGACTCTCCCTTCAGAAGAATATAGACAAGGACAGAGAAGGCACTATGAAGATTGTCTTCTATGAAGGATTAAGGAAAGTGTTATCTAGAGAATTGGGAGTAGATGAAGAAAAGTGAAGCAGGCAAGGCCAAAGTTCACCTGTTTCACACTGATACCTGCAATGGACTATTTCCAGCACTCATTCTCCCAGAAGTCTGAGAGCAGTGCACGGGAACTAGTGGACAGCCACCGTAACTTCAGGAGGACCTGTAGCAAGGCTGCTGATAGCGGGAAAGTGTATGTCACGTCGGGTTGACAAGACATGACAAATAAAGCAAAGGTTTTGGACAAAGCGGCAAGAATCAAAATAGGAATCACCATAGCTCTTTGGGAATGTGGAGTCTCAGAGACATGCAGAATGACCCAACAAATCCGTAACATGACTTGGTTTGAAGACTTATTTGCTTACTATTATAAAGGTAGATCAGATTTAAGGAGAGACAAGGATCTATCTGTTAGTTCATTCCCCAAATGACTGCAATGGCTGGAGCTAAACCAATCCCAAGCTAGGAGCAGGAGCTTCTTATGGGTCTCTTACATGGGTGCAGGGTCCCAAGGCCTGTGGCCATCCTCTTCATGGCCACAGGCAGGGAGCCGAATGGGAAGTGGGGCAAATAGGACAAGAATGGGACACCATATGGAATCCCTGTGCAGCCAAAGGGAGGATTTAACCAGTGAGCCACCGTGATGGGCCCAACATGAATTGGTCTGAACACTTGTGGTTGCCAGCTGTGACCAACAGATACAGAAGTGGACAGTCAGTAGTCCTACTTCTGATTCAGAGTTTTGAGTTAAAAAGACTCAGTATAGTAGCACCTAATATTTTTATATCACTGACAAAATTTCCTTTGCAATTTTAAATAAAATACTTTTTTTTTTTTTGACTGGCAGAGTAACAGATAAGCAATGACAGAAAGAAGATTTGCCTCTGCTGCTTTATTCTCCAAAGGTCCATAACATATAAGACCGGACCAGGAGGAAAGCAGGAGCCAGGAACTCCATCCTAGTTTCTTAGGTAGGTAGATGATGGTAGGAACTCAAGTACTTGGACCATCTCCAGTTACTGTTCAGACCTTCCTCTCTGTACATCTCACTTTCCAATAAAAATAAATAAACCTTAAAAAAAAAAAGGTCTGCTGTATACTTACAGTAGATTCAAGGTTTTATTTCATCTGGCAAGTGAAGACAATTACTGGATTCAACAAAGGCTTTTGAGTAGAAGGCTTGACCAGGTCTTTTGTCCTTAACAAAATTATCACGCTGCTGCAGATGTTCAGGGGTCTTATTTAGTTTTGATTGAAAGAGGTTTTGGAGAAAGAGAGAGGTTAAGATGTCCAGGCTGTTAAGTCATTCTACCTCTATCTGTTTGTAGTACAACTCAGGAGTTCCTTGGAAATAAGGCTGGTAATGTTAACATTACAGTCATTCACGGGCAGGTGCCCCAGGGTCTTCTCTTGCCTTCCTGCATTTAGAACATCTAGGAACTTTACAACTTGAGACATACGTAGACAATGTCTATTGAATAACTACACGTCCAGCAGATCTTAGATTCTGATATTTTAAAATAGCATCTTGCCCAACACAAATGTTATCTTTTTTTCAGAAATCGCTTTTGAAATCAAGAATGGTTTTTCTAACTTGGAGACCATTCGATTACATTTAGACAATTTGGAAATCGAACATGTGAAGGTCACTTTATAGACAAGAAAACTGAAAAATCTGAGATGGGTTAAATCAAGGTGGGTTATTTTACAACACTAAATTATCTTTAAGAACTTAAGAAAGATACACTTGACCACCAGTTAGTAGAAAAGTACCCTTTTATTGAGAGGTAAGACAAGTGTATTTACAATATTCAATTGTTAGGATTATACCATCCGACCATGAGACTTTTTAAAGCAGTATTTCAAGAATTACAAATTATAAGGGGGGAAAACATTCCAAGTATGTTTCTGTTACAGAAAACACATTTGAATAATGACAGAAACACTTAAGGCTAAGTAGTATTAGACCTTTTCCTCCATCCCTACAGAAATAATCGATGTCCATTTTTGTTTGTTTTGTTTTTGGTCACAAACACAAAAGACTGATGTTAGAAAGGAAGCAATAACAGGATGTATAGTGCGGCCAAGCAGTCCCAGATCCACGCTTGGCATCGATAGTAGATTCACGTAAGACGGAAAACTGTCCCAGCCTCTTGATGTTGCTAAGGACTAAAAGAAGAAGAAGAAATCCTTTGCAGTCCAAGAAAGCTTTCTGAAATGAGATTGTTGAGAAAGGGGTCTCTGTCACAGTGCCAGGAGCATTTTGTCAGAAATCCGCGTCTACAGGGGAGTTAAACAATGCAGATAGGCCTGACGTCAACAGACGCTCTTCTTGCTGCTGTCACAGTGCAGCCACTGTAAGCGACCTGGGTCAGTCAGAGCGTGTGTAACAGTCCTACAGGGCACCTTATGGAAGTCAATCCTCAAAGTATATACACTGCACACTTTCCAAGTGAGGATATTACTTTTTGAAGAACATTAGACACAACACTAGGTCTCTTATAATTCCATGAACTATTGAGGTAGGAGTCTCCATGTATCGCCATTTTCACAGAAATACTTTAAGTCAGATCCAAGTACCAAAAGAGACAGAATCCACAAGACTGAACCATTACACTATCTACCAACTCATTCTTCAGACGAGCAAGGGATAGAGTTCTCTGTGCGTCTACAGGTTTGCTAAAGACGATGTAAGCTGTGATGTATTTTGTAGACATGTTTGTAAATGCGTAACACAAATTTTACTTTTGATTTTACACACTAAAAATATTCTAGGTGTTAAAAAAAAAGTAAATAGTGCAAACATTAGTGGTAAAACAAATAGTGCTATGGCTGGTGAGATGTGTTCCTACATCTATTATAAAAGCTGGCACCTGGGAAAATTGAAGAAAATAACTCTTGCTGTCAATCAGCAACAGGCCCCTCCCACCCTGTTTTTAGTGTCATGTTTTAATTCTAGTAAAATAACTTTCGTATGCGAAAAGTATTTTCCTTCATTTCCTTAACCCAGTGAATGATCATCTGAAGCACGTCACATGTACTGATTTTTGTATCTTATGAAAAAGCTGAAAATAAGGGAAGATTTCAGGCTAAATAGCCCTTTAAAAAAGTTATAAGCTTTACTTTTTTTTAACATGTTACATGTCTTATTGCAAACATTATCAAGTTAATTTTAATTTACGACAAACAAAATAAGAAGCCACTGTTAAAATTAAAGAAAAAGAAAATAATAAACAGAAACCACACAGCGTGATGCAGAAAAATCTACCTGGTTTGAATTGCTTGGTATCTTAAGTATAACAATATTCAATGAGACAAACTATGTAACAGACTTCTTCCAGGTCCAAAATGCTGCTCGCTAACTGTTCATATCTAATGGATGACCCTGATGATCCTGACAGTCAGGTGGTCAGACTCAGAAGAAGTATCTGTATTTCCAGAGTGTGTGGCTGACAGGAAAAGGGCTTAGTCAGCTGTAATTTAGGAACTAGCATACCTCTACACAGTCAAAAACAAAAAACGAAACAAAACAAAAAACCTCTAGAGTTCAGATTTTCATCTGGCTGTAAAATATTAAGATTCAGAAAGACTACAAAACTTTTATTTTAGCCACATGTTTTTAAAAAATGATTCATACATCAAAAATTGGGGTTTCCTTGGCTCTAATACATCAAAAGGACATAATCCAATCTAACTCATGCAATGCTTTCAGAGTTACAGTGCACTGGAAATACCTTTGCCACCGCAGTGAACATTTAGAAAAAGCAAATGCCTATGGGTGCTGTGGAACTTGCAAAAAAAAAAAAAAATATATATATATATATATATGGAGAAACAGAAAGGAAGGCAGGAAAGGAGTGGCACCGCAGTTTCTGGGGATGGCTGTGTTTCGTGCACGGCGGACAGACACTGAGGGCGGCCTTCTGGAGTCCCCAGACCCATCTCAGCACGGCCCTCCTCTCCCGCAGGCAGAGCCCGGATTCCAGAACCCTTGATCAGAAGCCTGTTTTCACTGCTTCTTTGCTGCTTGCTGTCGGTACTTTGTAGGCTACGCTTTTTTTTTTTTTAAACTTCTGTAAAGAACAACATGAGCTATTTCATGTAAATTAATTTTGTGCTGAATATTCTTCAAAGGACTTTATAAATAATACAATATTTTAAATGAGTCTTCAAATTCATTCGTTGTTATACCATATTGTTGCTTTCTCCAACTTTATCTACGAACTGTAAGGAGAAGAAAAACATCGTTAAAGATGGTGTCTACCATTCTAAACAACAGTATATTAACATTTTAAATGCTGATTAAAAAACTCGGGTTTATAAGGAGATTCGTGGAAATTTAAGGTATGACTGACGATGATTAATTCAGTGCTACTCACCAGCATCTTCTGACACACAAATGTGTGTCAGCTTTGCTCTAAAAGCTATTTTTGCATGAAGTGTTATACATATGAATTTAAAGGTGCAACATGGAAAAATGCAACACAATGAGTAAAACATTGTATAAAATGAAGTTAACACCGCTAGCTTAACAAAAAAGTAAAAGTAAAATAAAAATTGAAATGTCAGCCATTCATGCATTAATGAACCCAAAAAGATATTTCAACTGACCATTAGTGTGGTTCTCTTCTGGGCCTATGTAGTCTTTGAACAGACAGATTTAACTCCATTAAGTTCAATAATTAACAACAGCTATTGTCTAAATATACTTTAAAAGTGTATTCTGGACTTCAGACTGAAAAGTGGCAATGACATTAAAAACAGATTTAATGATGCAAGCATAAATTTGTAATTATCAAATATAAAGTTAACATACAATAATCTAAATGGTTATTTACTTTTGTTAGTCCACCCCCAAATCTAAAGCAGTTTGGCTTTCCTCAGCATTCCAGATGGTGACGTAAAGATTAAAATAGATAACTGGCAAAGATATTAAAATTTATATAACCAAGTGATTATGATACCATCATATTCTAGCATTTATCTGCTTTCACATTTTCATTTAAGTACTTATATAATGAAGCAATGACAGGGAAGAATCTATTAAATATTGGGTGTCCATTTATGCAATAACTACAGAATCTTTAAGAACACAAATAATGAATACCACTCTTTAACTAGAAGTTCAAGCAATTTCAAAAGTCATCCCACATATAAACAACATTGACTACTATTTATGAGTTTGAAGATTAATGCAAATGAAATCAGGATATACCCCTATAAGCCTAGATCCCAATATTTTTGTTGTCAGAAATGGGTGACTGGCTTAAACTAAAAACTGTTCTAAAAGTGGTAAGAATGGGTCTATTAACATTTGCAGATAAATTTAATGGAGAGAAAATCACGACATTCTTTCTCAAATGTAACTTCAAAGATCCATGCACTCATGTGCTAACCGGGATTATTAGGCTTATAGTGGTAGTTCTTCTCCTATGGGTAAGCCAGCCTTCAGCTCTTTGAGAGGTCAATAAATGCTACAGGAATTCTCTCCAGACATTCATGAAACCTGTCACCAAGCTGAGAAAGCCAGCGAACCTTCTAGTTGCAACGAGAACTTGGTGGCCAGTTGATCCAGGCTGCTCAGGATTCACTTAGAACTAGGATGCTGACCCAGAGCAGGGTCACTGCTGAAATGGGTCACATCCGGAACCACAGGGAAACTCAGCAACTCAGCTACATCACAGACTAGCTGCGTTCTTTCAGAATTTAAGGCTGGAAGACCAAAAGGAAGCCACCCGAATGTCTTGAAAATAATCAGTTTCGCTGAACTCAATGAAAACGCCATTATGCATTTTGCAAAATGGTTCTAAGTTTCCAGTAGAAGCCAAGCATTGTGATGGACATGACGGAACACTGACTGATGCTGTCTCTGCCCACTTTTCACGTGAAGGCCTTTGTCTGCACATTTAAAACATAAAGGTGTGGGCCCAGTGCGGTAGCCTAGCGACTAAAGCCTTGTATGCAAGGGCCTTTCATGCGCCGGCATCCCCTATGGACACTGGTTCTAATCCCGGCAGCCCCACTTCCCATCCAGCTTCCTGCTTGTGGCCTGGGAAAGCAGTCGAGGACGGCCCAAAGCCTTGGGACCCTGCACCCCTGTGGGAGACCCAAAAGAGGCTCTGGGCTCCTGACTTCAGATCAGTGCAGCACCGGCCATTGTGGTCACTTGGGGAGTGAATCAACGGAAGGAAGATCTTCCTCTCTGTTTCTTTTCCTCTCTATATATCTGACTTTCCAATAAAAATAAAATAAATCAGAAGACAAAACATAGAGCTGTGCACATGCATGCTCTAGACGCTCATCCTGAGCAGCCACAGCGAGTCAGCACAGCTGCTTCTAAGAAGGTAAAAACCTAAGTTAAATCCCGAAAACCTCCTGGGACTAGACAGAAAAGTTAAAATTTTTCAGCTAATAATTTCGAACCAAAAGTTTGTTGAAGGAAAACTGATCAAGGGAAGAAACTTCAATTCAAAAAATGTCCTATTTTAACTTTTACTTATCATTCAGTTTTACTCCCTGTATTTTCCCAAGATGGAAGCTAAGGCCACCATGGACAGGTTCGGTAAGATTGTTTAATTTATGTGCAGAACTGGGAAGAGAATTTAACTAGCAACTTCTATCAGAGTGCTTTATTTAGATGTTTAATTTGTCCACGTGATGATAGTCTGAGAAAGAAAACATTTGCAAGAAAGAATGGCTTCTTTTTACACTGTTGCTTTTAAACTAAAGATTTTTTTTTGTATAAAAATGCATTGAAGGGCCCGGCGCGGTGGCGCAAGTGGTTAAGGTCCTCGCCTAGCACGCCCGGGATCCCATATGGGCGCCAGTTCTATCCCGGCAGCCCTGCTTCCCATCCAGCTCCCTGCCTGTGGCCTGGGAGAGCAGTCCAGGACAGCCCAAGGCTTTGGGACCCTGCACCCGCGTGGGAGACCCGGAAGAGGCTCCTGGCTTCAGATCGGCATAGTATCGGCCATTGCGGCTCACTTGGGGAGTGAATCATCGGACGGAAGATCTTCCTGTCTATCTGCCTTTCCAATAAAAAAAATAATAAGAATAAATCTTTAAAAAAAAAAAAACCGCCTTGAGCTCTCAAAGAGAAAGATATTGTAGCAGTTCAATCTAGAACAGTATCAAAAATGGATACATTGAAACAAAAGTCCAGGCTTACAGATTTAGCAATGATTATTTTCTGGTGTTCATGGCTACCATGATCTATGTGACGTAACAATCTGTATCATAAATTCATCAATTGCTCAAATTTCTAGAAGAAAAAAAAAAAAAACCCCACAAAAAAACCCACAAAATGTACTTATTTTCATGGTTCTAAACAAAGCACTGTTACAGGTGTGATCACTTACTGATCTGATTCCAGGCAGGTTTAGGAGGGACCCCAGCACTGGCACTCTTCTGATGAAGCCGACCACCACAGGAAAGAAGCCCCTGGCAGATGGAGAACACACTCAGACTTACGGAATTCCAATCGCCCAAATCCACTGCTCTCCAGGTAACAGAAAAGGATGCTGCTGAGATTTCTGACTTCCCCTTTGTATTGGGCCCAAATATTCACTCTGACTTTGAATTTTCATCACTAGAATCCCTGTGTAATTAAGGAAGCCAACAAGGAGGCTGGCAGTCGTTACAGTTAGGTTTTCTGCTGGGAGATGCACCATGAATGATGACCTCTTCCCTGCTCTCTGCCACCATTCTGCCTCCTTCTAGTTTCTTCTCCATTCAATCTTAGCGCCTGACATTCTGTACTATAGCGATAGTCTCTTACTAGCTCCTGCTGCCTCTAGTTTTTCTTTTCCCTTTTTCCATACTTTTTTCCAGACTATGTATCATTTTCGGTTTACAAATTGTTGTGTTCTTTAACCTTCCAAAAACACTACTCTACACTACTCTGTAGCCCAAATTCAGTTCAAATACCGTGTGTACTAACAAGTCATTCATAGAAAGTGTGTAATCTGGCACCAGCTTTCTCTTTTGGTCTCACCGTCAAGCATCCTCTTTCATTTACTTTATACTCCTGTTGAACTGCAGGATTTGTCCTTTTCATAAAAAGTTCTGTACTTTCATGACTTCTGTGAAATTAACTTCTTTCCAGTCAACTGGCCTCTCCTTCCTCGTTTATCAGATGAATTCTTACCCATTTTTTCATGTGCCATTTATCAGTTAACATTTCTTCACTCTGTGAATTTTTTAATGTCCTCAATTATACTTCTATATTTTGCATATATGTCCATAATGTCATTATGGATGTATCCTGTCAATATCTTTACAATCCATTTTTTTTTCAAATTACAAGCAGGATCCTTAAAACAGATCTGGCACTTAATTCATGCGCACATGTGCCTCTTGTGGGTAATAAGGTGCTTAGTAGTTACAACAAGGCAAAGAATATGCATTTCTTGAATAATTAAGACTAATCTTGTTTAAAGACTTTTTTTTCCCCTTTCATGGACACTATCATTTACTTGTGACCGGCATTTTTAGAACATTAACTGGGTGTACTTGATACAGAATCTCAGTTTATCTGGGGGTGTACACATAAGGAAGTACCTAGGAGTATGATATTATACACTAAAATACTCTCAATAAAATCAATATCAATAAAACGGACTTTATTGCCCTGAAAATGCTTACAATTTAATTACAATCTTACTTGTCAATCATTTGCATTGAAAAATATTTTAGGATTGATCTAAAAGTGTAATAATCCACCCCAAAAATCATGAAAGGAAATGAATATGTTCTTAGAGTGATGCAAAATTTTTTTTACACAATTATCTGACACATTGATTTACTGAAGAGAAAATGAACAACTGCCTCACCTGAACAAGAGAAAGAATCCATAGATTTCGAAGATCATTCCTATCAAAGGCCAACCGATGAGGACCACAAACACACCACCCAGGAAAAATCCAGTGGCTTTCATTTTATGTTTTTGGAAGAAAAATCTGAATGTTCTTTCTAAACCAATTACAAAAGCCAAACCAGCCACAAACAAAACCTAGAACAGACACAAGATGGAACATGGAAAAGTGAATACCTGGCACGCATCCACAGAGGCCAAAGCTTAATATTACACAGGGACGCACATCCTGCTTTTAAGGTGGGCGGCTAGCCAAGGGAAGTGCAATGCGCTGTCAAGGGGCAGAGCCCGAGTTTGTTAAGTGTACGAAAGTTGAACAACATTCATCTCATTGCCCTTCTAGCATGATGAATTCGATATTTCCAGGGCGTCTGAGTCTACAGCAGTTTCCCCCATTGAAGCTGGACAGAGGTGGCTTCACCAAGCACACGACATGACACAGCAGAGAGGAAAGCTGCCCATGAAGAGGTCTCCCAAAGGAAACCTTCCTGGTTCTAACATCCATCCTGGGTTAACCAGACATGGCTAAGCTGACAGAATCAAAGTGCAAATCCAGCAAAAACATTCTAGTTTTACTAATTCCAGAATATCTGGGGAAACAGAATAAAAATACAATAAAGTGCTTTCAAATACACATGTATCTTGTGTGTGCATGTATATCACACACACATTTTAACTATGATCTAGAAATGTTCATCTATGAAAAGCTCACTGTTTTCTGGGTGCATTTCCAAATACGGGCCCTGCCCCCACCCCTCTATCAACTTTCCCTAGGTTTCATTCCTTATGGAAATAGGGAATGTGGCAGGAATCACATACAAGTAATAGTCAATTATCTTCCCCCAATTTAACAGCAGTGAATAATTCATTTGTAGTTGAGAATTAACTTAAAATACATATGAAAACACTCACATTTCCAATAGCCAGTAGTGCTTTGTCAAAAAAGAGAATCATTCCAAAGAACAGGAAAAACACTCCAAATCCTGTTAATCCCATTCCAATTTCTGCAACAGAAGTTAAAAGATTAAGGTGGAGGAAAAAAATCACATCAATTTCCCTATAAACTAAGAAACTTTTCAGTGCTTCTTTTGGTTGATGCAGGAAATAAGCCCTAACAGATGAAGTTAATAAGATGATTCATTAAGATCATAATCAAATTAACATAGGAAAAGTATCTCAAAAGTTAGAATACAAATGCAACTTTCTTGTAAGAGACAGTATACCTCAAAGGTATGCCTATAACAGAAAAACACAAACCGGATTCTAAGACTCTGGTTAAATCTTTCTTTTCCCTCCTAAGACCCTCTCTGGGATCCAGGTATAAATACACAGATTTTTTTTTATTTTATCTCTTTTCATTTCTAGGATTATCATTCATATGTGCGGTGTCTGTAGATACTACTTCTCCTTATAATTCATTGCTTCTTTCACCCATTAGAGATGTCACTGGGATGGGAGACTAGGCCAATACTCTTGTCAACCATACAATATTCAGCATATTCAATATGCATTGTTTGTTTCAATGGCAACAGAAATCTTTGGAGAAGGGTCTTCTCAGGAGACCAAGAACTGTTCTTGGTGCTGAACATACAGTGCTACAGAAACAGCAGCTGTGCTCTGGGCTCATCTGTGTACAGGATTTAATTAACTCTAGTGACTTTAACATTGTTAGGTCCCATATCCTTAACTTTTGAAGGTGAAAGTTTCACTGTCCCAGTCAAGTGCTACAAAGTACAATCTACTACTGCCCCATCATTTCAATTTTGGGAAACAGTCAATAGTCCTAATTGTATCGAAACACATTATCTACACTATCAATGATTGACAACAGGGGATACTGTGTTTCTGGGAGCACAATTTTATACATACGCTACTTTTATTTCTGTCATTTGATTTTTTTGGTTTTAGCTTCAGGAATCTAAAATCTAGGACCTAGGTAGATATTAAAAGGGGGGTAGGAGGTAGGGGCGGGCGCTAGTATGCTAGTACAGTAGTCTAGCAGCTAAAACTCTCACCTTGTATGCCCAGGATCCCATTAGGGTGCAGGTTCTAATCCTGGCAGCCCTGCTTCCCATTCAACTCCCTGATTGTGGCCTGGGAAAGCAGTCAAGGACAACCCAAAGCCTGGGACCCTGCACCTGCGTGGGAGATCTGGAAGAAGCTCCTGGCTTTGGATTGGCTCAGCTTCGGCCATTGCAGTCACTTGGGGAGTGAATCATTGCATGGAAGATCTTACTCTCTGTATATCTGAATTTCTAATAAAAAAAAAAAACCACTTAAAAAAATCAAGCCATACAAAATATTCTGCTAATTTGGGTTTTTTCTTTTTAAATCAACCTTATCCCTCATCTCCTCAGCTTCTGGGTAGCTACTATAGTCTTCCACTCAGGTACCTTTTGTTCCCCAAATGAGTCTAATTCTCTTGTTTGAATGCCTTGAGAATTTACCAAGCTACCTGTTCACGTGTCAGATGTAACTTCCTGGAAGAAAATATATAGAAGAGTAAAATTCCATCAGGTAATCTTTTTATTATTTATTTTTTAAAGATTTATTTATTTTTATTGGAAAGGCAGATATACAGAGGAAGATCTTCCATCTACTGGCTCACTCCCCAGGTGGCTGCAACGGCCAGAGCTGCACTGATCCACAGCCAGGAGCAGGAGCTAATTCTGGGTCATCTACACGGGTGCAGGGTCCCAAGGCTTTGGGCCGTCCAAGACTGCTTTCCCAGGCCACAAGCGGGGAGCTGGATGGGAAGCGGGGCTGCGGGGACATGAACCAGCACCTACATGGGATGCCAGCATGCACAAGGTGAGGACTTTAGCTGCTAGGCTTCTGCGCCTGGCCCCCATTAGTAATTTTCAATAGCTAATATTTAATTTCTGAGTTATCTGAATATGCCTAATTTCTATATTTTCATGAATTATCTTAATGATTACAGGGAAACAGAGAGATGTTTGCTCATTAGAAAAAGAACTAAATGGAAATGCAGCTGCTGTGTCCTGAGAATTTGTTACAAATCTGGCATCCTGAGGTGTTTTGCATAATGTGCCCAACTTTCAACACTACTGGAATAGAGAAGAGCGAATCAGGAGAATTGGTTCAAACTCCCAGACTCGCCTTGGCCCTGTCTATCTGAATTCAAAGCCCGCGTACTTAACCGCTGTGTTACTCCTTCTTCGCGTAGGAGTTACTGCAGGTTAAATATGGTTGGCTAAATCAAAGTAAGTGCATTAATGTGTATAAATGAACTCCTGAGGCAAGTGTTTTGACAGAATTCAACTTCAATATTTATTATCTAGCTTAACTAAGTAGATGTCAGTGGAACTATTAAAAAAGTCACTTCAGTGGACAGCATCTGAGCATGGTTTACCACGTTATGAACTGTTCACACACACATATGTCATAATCATGTAAGATAACCACGTTAGGCAGATGGTAGCCTGTGTTTCATATGGGCAACCAGGGACACGGGGAGATTATGAAATTTCTGGTCACAGAATGAACAAAACTGTGTGTGGGGGGCGGCAGTGGTGGTGCCAAGTAAGGCCAGAAGTTCAAGGTCAGCCTTCTCACATCACAGTCACTCAAGTCCGGTGGTACAACCACAACATGGAAACCAAAAACTACTACTTCATCTTAGCACAGTCCAACAGCAGACAGCTGCTGGTCACATCCTTGCCAAAGCCTGCACTGGCATGCGGCGGCCAAGCAGTCCCTGATCTAAAATAGGTCAAAAGATTCCGACTGGTCCCGTGCCACGTCATCGCCTGCAGAATTCCCGTCCCTGGCCCTGCAGCATTCACTGCCCTGTGGCCAGTCAAGCCCTACACACAGCTCCTCGCTTCTGTTCACATCAGTCAGTACATTTCTCTCCTCTTGAGCAGGAGCAAACCTTCACTCTGTTTCTCCACAAGCTCAATCAGAAAAAAAACCTGCTGACAGCAACCACATAGGACCAATCTGTCTGCCACAAGAAACAGCTGTGGACATCACAGAAGGAAAGCCACACATAGCCGTGACAATCACTGTGAGCATTGTGCTATCTTGTTCACACTTTCCTAAAGGCAGGCACTGTCTTTCTTGCACCTGCAGAGTGAGCCAGGGGAAGGAAGATCTGCCTGTCTGGGATGGCTACTGTCTGGTTGCCCTCCCTCAGATTCACAGTCGTGGCATCCTCCTGAAAAACATCACCTGAATGGTGCTCAGTGCTTGCAGCGTGGCATACCCCCACATCATGTGCAATTCAGAGGAGAGATCTTGGCTCACTAATCACCTTAGGTTTCACTGTCTCAGCTAAAACACTCAAAAATTTGTTTGCCTCACAAATTTCAAGGCGTGAGGTCAGGACAGGGCGTCTTACTCTTCCCTCAATCCTTTGCGCTGGTTTCTGGAAGGATGGCCATCAGGCGCTCATCCCACTAACACAGCTTCAAGAGGGGAGAATCTACACACACTTTTGTATCACACACTCAAAGCATCCTAAGAGCTTCATGTGTATATCAAGCCTTCCTACAGGGTTGTGGGGTAGAGCAAGAAGAACAGAGCCAGCAGACCTGGGGTCATCCTTTTTCTGCCTTTTTTCTTAGGACCCCATGTTCAATTTCTTTTGTGTTTCAGTTAATTTAACAAAAGAGTTATGTTCTTCTCTGCCTTACATGGCATTTACAAAAATTTAGGATAATTTCTATAAATACACATGATAGGCTGAAAGAAAATGCCTTTTAAACAATTGCTAGTACCACTAGGTGCCGACCTAGTGGGCGAAGAGTCTGATTGGCATGGCAGTATGTGGGGAAACTTTACATGTTTTGGGAGCTCCAGCTTGCCATGACTAGAATCTAAACTTTAAGACTTCACACACATACACAAATAAATAAAAAAAGCAGCTTAAATGAAGTCCCATTGCTACTTGGACTATTTGATTCTTTAAAAAATCTCTAAAGTGAAATGAAGTTTTAAAAAAGATGAATGATGCCCTACTGTGGCTTATGCTGCTGCTGGGAGCCACAGCATCCGCCAAAGGCATCGCTGTGCTTGCCTCCAAGCCTTGCTCCTGCTCCCAGCCTAGCTTCCGGGTGATGCTAACTCGGGGATGCGGGAGATGGTGGGACACCTGAACTCTGCACCTGGCTCAGCTCAGGCTCGTGCAGGTCTCTGGGGGAGTAAGCCCATGGGTGAAAGCTCTCTCCTCTTTTACTCTTGAAAACTACACTGAAGACAAACACTTTAAAAAAGGAAGCTCAGACGGGTCTACCCAAAATTACAGCCAGATATGTAAATACCAAACTCACTGAGAGCATGACAAGAAAGAGTAGCAATTTCCAGAAAAGGCCTCCAGGAGGTGACATTTAAAAGATCGCCTTCTACGACACGACCAACCTGGTGGTGACTTGAACTTAGAGGACTCCGAGGAGGAGGCCACCTGTGAAAGGACCCACCCCCCTCCGATCGTGGGCCGCGGGCACCACGCAGTAAACTTTTCTCGCGTGGGGGTCCCGGGAACAAAGCGCCAGGCTGCCTCGGGCGTACGAATGGACGGCGCGACCCCGGTGCCCAGCCCACACACAGCCTCCCGACGCCGGCCACCGACCCTTCCTCCCAGCCCCGGTTCCCCACCGACCCTTCCTCCCAGCCCCGATTCCCTATACCGCGAGTCCACCTGCTGCCCCACGCCCGGTCTCGCAGGCCGCCGCCGCCTCCCGGCGCACAGCTTCATTCATTGACCGGGGCGGACGGGCGGACCGGACCCAGCCCGAGGGAGGGCTGTGATTGGGGCTCCCAGCCAAGGTGCCGGGGCAAGGTGCTTACTCTGGGTGTCCGTTAAGGAGATCATGGCTGCAGCGGCGAGGGCAGCGGCCGGCAGCCGCTTGGAATGCCCAAAGAGGAGAAGCTGAGTCGGGAGAAATCTAGCCGGGAGGCCACCCAGGCGAGAGCCGCCACGTCTTCCGGAAACACGCAGCCAGTAGCACCCTGGCTTCAAGGCCGCGTCCCGTTGGCTGAAAGCGCTCTCCAGATCTACCCATAGGCAGGGGCCTTGTTGGGTGACGCGCCCTTAGGCCACGCCTCCTGACCAGTGACAGCAGGCTGTTATTTGCGATTGGCTGAACGAGCCGAGCCGGAAGGGTGCGTGCTCCCGGCTGGGTGGCGGGAAGGCTTTTTTTCTTTTTTTCTGGCTGAGCAGTGGAAGCAGGTGCGGAGCGGTCCCTGAGGCTGGGGGGACTTAGAGGTGGACGATTGGGGGCCGGTTTAAACCCCCTGGGAGGGGAGGCAGCAGGTCCTGGGACAGGGGTGAGGGACCCAGGCTGTCCCGTCCTTCCGTGTTCTTTCCCGTTCCTGCGTGAGAGGCTCGGCCGATCTCGCCCCAGTGAACTAGCAGCTGCCTTCTGCATGAGGGTGTGGGGGAAGCTAAGTGACTGGGGGTGCTTCTTCCACCTGCTGCGGTGGTAGTTGAGGAAGGTATTGGTCTCTTACCGTGGTCTCTTGGTGCTTGGTGCAGAGTGGGCCCCTAGTGGCGTTTCCTACAGCATCCATGCCGACTGCTCAATACTCGCCTTCACTTTCCTGTGGATGCTGAGCTTAGACGTCTGACCCGCTGTAGCTCATCCGTTGCTGAGTGTGTCGAGATGTCTTGTGCTGCTCCATGACAAGATTGGGGGAAGGAGCGGTTTCCTAGCTGTGTTATAAAGGGAGTCATTTTAGGAAGCAGGGGGAGGTTGCGCACAGATTATATCCTTCCCCTAAGGGAAGATCCCACTTAGGGTCTCAGCCGACCTCAGCCTAGCACCCCTATGTGCCCAGCACTTTGCTGAACAATATGCAGATTCAGAGCTGGAGGAGGCCCCAGCTCTGCCCTGCCTGCAGACATATTATATTCTTAAACAATATTATTCTATTCCCAAGCTGTGGTGGACAGATGGACCTTGATGTATACCCCTAAGTAAATGTTTTTCAGTGATGTGGCCATTGCCAAGTTGTTAGCAAGGCCATTAGCACCCGATGTATTTTCTAGTCCGTGTAGGGAGAGCGTATTGGTCAGCAATCCGGGTAAAGGGCCGGGTGGTGCAGCAGTGCCTTTGGCAAGTGTAGATTCTGCCTTAGAGGTAGGAAATATTGATTGTCCATTTCAGAGAGTTTGAGGAGGTTTTCCTAGGATGGTGGGATTTTAAATGTTCTGCTTGCCGCTGTGCACACTTAAGCTTTAATCCTTCATAGGTAAAGTTTCTCTAACCATTTTTAAGTTTCCCTGAAATCTAATGCCTCAGTGGAATGTCGGTTGCTCAGTTTAAGACTGAACTCAAATTGTACTCCTTTTTAAAGTTCACTTTCCGTATTAGAGAAGCAGAGCTGCAGAGAAAAGATAATGAATTTCAAATTGTTATTCTTTAAAGCAAGCACTCAATAATTTGTTTACATAAAAGTCAGAGTTACAGAGAGATCTTACAGTCAGTGGTTCATTCCCTATGTGACTGTAACAACTAGAGCTGAGCTGGTCTGAAACCAGGAGCCAAGAGCTTCCTCTGGGTCTCTCACGAGGGTTCAGGGGCCTGGGTCCCTGGGTCATCCTCTACTGCTTTCCCACACCATAAGCAGAGAGCTGGATTGGAAGTAGAACAGCACCATATGAGTGCTGGGGCTACAGGTGGAGGATTAACCCACTATGCCATCGTGCCAGCCCCAAGCACTGAATAAATTTTTAAATGATAAACATGATTAGTTACTTCATTGTAGCTTGCTTAATGGAGGGAATTTGACTTAATCCACCTTTTTATAAAACTTCTTCAATCATCCCAGTTTTATAGGTAGGGAATGAGAATGAGGGTAACAGGGCTGTATATCTATGCTGCTTAGCTGGGCCAGCCCCTAGTTCCAGCTTATGCTGGCGGTTGCTGCAGCTTACCCCAACCAAGCCAGCCCTAAGTCCCAGCCCTAATATGAACTCACTGGGGTTGCAGCTCAACTTGGCCTGGCCTCATCCTGTCCTAGTTCTCACGTCTGACAGTGAACTATCCCAGCCCAACTTGCCCCCAGCCCTGATCCACCTGTGTGCCAATAGATACTGTAACCTAGACTTGTCTGGGCTGCTCCCAGCTGTGGTTCTTGCACTGACCTGCAGGATTTGTGTCCTGACAGAGTTCCCAAAGCTCCTCTATCAAGTCATCTCCCAGTCACAGATTTGCATAAACTGGTGGATACTTGGTCCAGCTTAACTTGGCCCACCTTTTATCCTGGTGGCTACAATGGTGTTGCCTGACCAACCCACACCCATTCTGGCTCTTATTGTTGGTGCTGCAGCCTAGCACCACGTGGCTCACTCCCGAACCTGGCTCTCACATGGTTCAGCAGTTGCCAAGATCTAGCCCACCCTGTCCTAAACCCACTGTCTCCTGCCAGTACCAGCTGGTGCTGGATCCTAGCCCAGTCTGGCATACCCCAGATCCAGTCTGCATCTGTGCTGAGAGATGCTGTAACCATGTCCAACCCAGTTCACTACCCCCTTTCTAGCTGTTGCACTCACCAGTGGGATCCATAGCCCACTGGCTGGTCCCTTTAGTTCCCCAACCACAAATCCCAGCCACAAATCTTGCACATGCTGATGGCTCTGGCCCAGCCTATCATAGCTCATCCCCTGTCTCGGCCTTTGTCATTGGATGCTGCAGCTTGGTCTGGCCCAGCCTGCCTCCATTCCCAACTCTTGCTGCAGCCCAACACTGCCCAGATGCTCCCATCATTGGCTTTCGTGCAAAACGGTAGGTATGATAGCTTAGTCTGGTATGGCCCACCCCCATGCTGGCTCCTCAGACCCGGTTGTCTTGTGTGCTGATTAGTGTCGTGGCCCAGCCTAATGTGACCCATACCTTGTTCCAGTACTTACTAGAGGGTGCCGTGGTCTAATGCTGCTAGCTAGATGCCCCCAGCCCTAGCTTTCACGTGTATTAATGGGTGATGGTCATTGGTGGTTGATATTAACTAACCCAGCTCGGGTCTCCCATGTGGATATGTACACTGGTCTGACCCAGAAAGATATTCCTTTTTCCATCTTTGAATCTACTCAGTCTCAGCTCCCTCACTTAACTGCAAGCCTTGTTACCAGAAGTTCCTCGGAAGTCATTCCTCACCTATAACTTAAACCCTCAGTAGTTCCCTGCCCCCACAACATATCCCATACACCATTTCCTGAGCAATCCATAAGCCCCACACTCATGAGTGCATAGGTTCCCTAGCCTGGTCTTTCGGCAGGGTGGTGAGCTGGCCTGGGGCCCTGCCTGCCTACTTGGGACCTGAATGCATGCATGGTTCTCCAGACCTGGTCCTCCTGTACATGTGCCTGCCTGGGACCTGACCGCTGCCCCCACCCAGGACCCAAGCACATGCGTGATCTTCCAGGCCAATACAGTGGGCCAGCCTGGCATCTGCCTACCTGCCCACCAGAGAACCCAAACATATACCTGAATCTTTAAGCTCCATCCACCAGCACACCACACCAGCATGGTAGCCTGGGGCCTACTCGCCCCCCAGCCCATCACCAGCCAAGGACCCAAGCATGTTCGTGAGTTCTCAGGCTCCAGAAGCCAGCAAAAACCTCTGCCCCAGTGTATAATGTACTTTCTAGCATTTTTCTTGGTTAGTTGGGGCTTGTTGTCATTTGATCAAGCATCAAGAGTTTTAAGATAATTGTTATGATTTTTTCATTTTTAGAAAGAAATTTGGATCTCTAATTTCAGAATGGCATCCATTTCAGGTTAGTGGAAATGATTTCATTTTTATTTCACTGTGTTCTTTTTAAAATTGTAAGATCTTCAGAAAAAAACTGATTTTAAAATTCTGATTACAGAAATTATTTTTTTGCATTTTTAATTATGAAATATACATAACAAAATTTATAATTAAATTAACTACTGTTAAGTGAACGATTACTTGGCTTTAAGTGTGTCCACACTGCTGTGTCACCTTTGTCATTGTCCCTGTGTAGAAAGCTTTTGTAATCCCACACAGCTGGTAAGTTTTCTGTCTCCATTGGTTTGATCATTCAGGTACCTCACACAAGAAGAATCATGTCGTATTTGTCCTTTTTCAGCTGATTTATTTCATGTTAGGGTCATGTTTTCCAGAATCACTTATTTTGTAACATGTTTCAGAATTCTTTTTTAAGCTACTTCAAAAGCTTTCACGTGCCATCCTAGTTCTTTCTAATAATGAGAATGAAGTATTATGGACATTTGACAGGTGGGAAGGTTGAGATGCAGGTAAGTCCCGTGCCTAAGATCACTTGGCATGTCAGAGGAGGCCCTGAGACTAGTGCGGGTCCTTGTACCACTCTGCTGTCCTCCCTCAAGTCTGTCTGGTTGAGGTGGTAAGGAACATCCAGACATCAGTGGGGGACACAAACTTTGCAGTTAATTCCATCCAGTCATTTTATCTCCTCCTTTCCCATCCCCATAGCTCTCACTGAGGAACTGGATTCCGTAACCAGTGAGCTACATGCAGTTGACATTCAAATCCAAGAACTAATGGAGAGACAACAAGAGCTTATTCAGAAAAAAGCTGCCCTCACAAAGAAAATAAAGCAGTGTTTAGAGGACTCAGGTGCCGGGACCAGCAACGAGTATGATTCTTCACCAGCTGCATGGAAGAAAGAAGGTTTACCTTTTTTTTCCCCTTTGCTGATTTTTGCTTCTTTTCCCTTCCTTAAAGTAGAGCCAAGTCCTTCTGCAGGAGTGTGTGTTTTCCAGTGGGCTCAGGTTAGCTTGCTGTCCCATCGGTGGAAGGGAATGCCCACAGGCAGCCTATTCCTTACTGGTGCCTTCTTGTCTTTTAAGTTTAAATTTTATTATTTAGACTTTATTTCTGTCAAGATATAGTTCTGGCAATATGGATCAATGCTTGGAAAATAGGGCATGTATTTTGAATAATTTTTTTTTGGTAAGTTTTACCTGGACAAAA